TGATTTGCTCTGGGGGTTGAATAGGTATGCGGAGATGGAGGCGGGGGAGAAGAACAACCTTTCTCATCGGTTTAAGGCGCTGGAGAAGCTTAGAGAGTATTTACAGGCGGGCGGTGGACTCAAGTCTGTGTAAGGGTATATATGCATGCATTAGATAATCCCCTGCAGGGAATGTGTTGTACTCATGCGGAAGACGAGTCCGGTCGATGACCGAAGATCGCTTGTGACGGAATGCGGTGAGTCTTGCCTTCTGCACTGAATCATTTAAGTGCTCATGCTGCTTCTAGCCATTGCCAACGCATTCTGCGCGCTTGAGGCTGGCGCGACACACATTGACACGTCGGTGCTTGGTATCGGCGAGCGTGTGGGCATCACCCCTCTCGGAGGACCCGTCCCCGAATACGTGCGATCGAAATACAACCTTCCCATGCTCCGCGAGATTAAGAACCTTGTTGCTGCAACCGTCGAAGTCTCTGTCCCCTTCTGCCACCCCATCACCGGATACTGCGCCTTCACCCACAAGGCTGGTATCCACGCCAAGGCGATCCTGAACAACCCGTCTACGTACGAGATCCTCAAACCCGAAGACTTCGGCCTGACGCGGTACGTCCCCATCGGCCATCGTTTGACCGGATGGTATGCCGTCAAGAGCCGAGTAGAGCAGTTGAAGCTCAACCTCACGGACGACCAGATCAAGGATGTCACTGCTAAGATCAAGGAGCTTGCGGACGTGCGCACGCAGAGCATGGAGGACGTCGACACGCCCTTGCGTGTGTATCACAGTGGTGTGGAGAGCGGAGAGCTCGAATTTGGGCAGAGCTCGAACTTGGGCAGAGACACGTTCTCGGCCGTTTGCTCGAGAAGCACACGAGTTAGAGCCAGGAGCGCATGGCCTCGTGTCGCATGAGGCATTGGTAGGAGGGGACAGCACTCATGCATTGGGGAGGAAAATCCCGAATTGTGGGCATGCATGGGATTTGATTGTATTTGCAATGTATTTCGAACGCAAAGTGAATAGATGCTTGTATACCTGATTGTGTTGGTCAGGGGAGAGAGAGGCGCGCCTTATCACCGACACGCGTCCCTGCAATTTCCCTACCGCCCAACATCGATCTGTCCGGAACTGATTGCACATTTCCCGAACTATACATAGAGCTTCAAAATGCAATTTTCACCAGATCAACTCGACCGACTTAGAATTGCTATAGTAGGCTGCTAACATTACCTGAGAGTAAGAATGACGCGTGTTCGGTAGGCACTTCTCCCATGGCCCCCAGACGTGCGCACCGCGCAAGGTACGCGTATGCGCCTTTCCTTGGTCCGTGATGCTTTACATATATTGGAATATCAACAGAAGCGGCCAAGCAATTGCGGGATGCGTTTCCGTTGAAGGATGGAAAGGAGGAAGAGCACTGGAAGAAGCAGGCAGACGACCTTCGCCTGAAGCAAACGTCATTATTGTTTCTGCTGAAATGGCTTCTGAAGGTCCAAGTTGAATCCATGTCGAGTGAGCCACTCTGGCTTTGGCCATGTTGGAATCTCCTTCAGCTCCACCGAGGTATGAAGCCCGAGATCAGTGCTGATTATTCGGTGCAGGCGATGCACTTCTTTTGCCACAAACAAGAGGGCTTCAAAAGGAAGGATATAGAGGGGGGTGTCGGTTAGCTGGCGGATGCCTTTTCTTGAGAGATCCTGCTCTCTTAACAAAGCGAGCTGGGGTGAGGCCATCAGTTTCATCCTCGAGTTACCACAGGAAGGCTACTCACGCCTTTCAAGCACACGTCAATTTGCTCCTTTGACACGGTAGAAAGGTCCTTCTTCGCTCCGATCCAGAAGGGCAATGCATCCCGGAGTGCCTGAGCTAGCGGGAGGAACTCGTCGATCAAGCTCCAGAAGGACGAGATGACCTGAGGGTCTGTAATCGAGTGGACTGGTCTGAAACCTTCAAGACGGGCGTCAGAAGTGTATAACTCACGAATACAATCATGACTCACTTATGGTGCCCTTCAAAAGCCGTTCTCTTTCACGTACATAACGCTCGGCGTCGACCTCGCGGTCTCTCGGCCTTCGCCCTGCCGCAAAGGTATCCAGCTGGATAGCTTCGAATGTATACATGTGCCGCGGCTCATGCGTATTTCCCCTCACGGCAGTGAGGTACCTACTCTTCCGGAGCTCCATACGTGCCAATATTTCGTCCCACTGGTCTTTGAAGACGTAGCAAGACTGCCGCCGTAGCTGCCACACGGTGCGAGTGGAGACACCATATTGCAGCAACTCTTCGTCCGTGTATCGCAGTGCGAGGTAGGCGTGCTGGTCACGCAGCTCCACATCGACTGGCCGTACGGGACGAAGAGCAAAGTTCGGTGACGTACCCACGAGCCGCATGCCCATCCGATACAGGACCGCGGCCAGCATGTATGCGTATGCTTTCTGGGTGACGAATACCTTCTGTACGGGGATGAGGACGTCGCGAATGAGGCTTCGCAGGCAGTCAAAGGTCGCTCGGGGGCAGGCTAGGCCACCGTCGGCCGTCCGATCTGCACAGTGCAGCTCGTATGCGACCATCAGAAGCTCGGCGTCGGAGAGGCTCTGTATACTCATGAGCCTTTCGAAAGGGCAAATATGCAAATAGAAATGCATACACAGTAAGGAACAGGACCAAATTGCATCATCTCCCAGTATACGCGATATATCGGGACAGCCTTCTCTTCAGTCAACTGGAACGGTATTCGCGAGTCGAACCCCTGGCTTTCCAAGAGATGAGTAAACTCCTTCTCCGAGCATAGGAGAGGCAGCTTCTCAACTAGTCGCTTGACGACGTCCACGACGGGGTCTTTGATCGCAGCTGATGCTCCGAGCAGGACGTGTTCGATCATGAACATCTGCTCTGCGGGCTCGGAGGGGAGTGTGACGATGAAGTCTCGCAGGGCATGCAGCGATCCTCCAGGCACGTCGAGATTGTTACCAACACCCATGATGAAGTGTCCAGTAGGGAAGTATGAATCGGGCGGTAGGCTGTTGCCCATTCCCCAGACGCTTGCCTGGTCGATAAATACATCTCCCAAGTCGCGCTGGTCGAACACTCAAGACGAAGGCACGTAGCGTGGTGCAATATCAAAGCCAAATCCAGGTGGTGATGAAGATCGACAAGTACTACTCGCTCATGTCGACGCGTATGCATCGTTATTCGCCCTTTTGTCTGTAATCAGCTAGTCCTATACCCGATATAGAAAGATACGCACATTTTGATGCCGCAGGGAAGAGAAGAACGCAGAAGAGATGCGCACGTGCGAGATGCTGGGGACATAGAGCTGCTAGGGAACGTCGTTCTAGTCGACATGGTGATCTGCGCATTTCATTGTAAGATACTTCTTTGTTTGTCAGGCGTGGCGAGTTCTGGTCTTTTGTTCGCCATGACATTAATTGGTCAGCTAATTAGAATGTACATCATAATGGACCACACAATAGGCGACAGGATGCTGGGTTGATTGTCTCTTGTCAATCCATGCGCATAGTCCGAGAAGACAATGATGTTCTGACTGTCCTGACGCACTGCATACAACTGCTATAGTACAAAGACTGCCTTCAACCCGTCTACATGGTCTATCCGCCTGGCACGAGCACCAAAGTAAATACAGTCCAACAAACACCCCCCCCCCTGTTTGTTCAGCTCAATCGTACACCTTCGTGCCACCACCCGTTGAGCCATCTCCATCTGCTGCCCTGCCCCTGCTGATCCTCAGGCATCGCGACTCCTCCAGCGACAGCAACCTTGTGCCCATCCTCGTCCTCCTCTTCTACTTCGACAACGTCGTCGTCGTCCTTGAGCAGGACGAGGAGAGAGTTGCCCTTAGGCGGCCAGACGATCCCCGGTTCGGCCGATACGTGGGAGCGCGGGGAGGCGGGCTGGTCATGATACGGAGACAGCGGTCGTACGGATACGGTCGGGCTGCGGATACCGATGGAGATGGTCGGACTGCGCGGACCGTGCGCAGCGACGTCGGCCGTTGCTTCCACTTCCGCGACGGCATCTACGCGATCCTTGAATGCCCATCTGAGGACGACTGGCACGAGTGCGGCGACAACGATCGCCCCCAGACTGAGGACATTGCGCGGTGAGAGCAGGTGGAAATCCTTTGGAGAAGTCATCTGCTCCAGACCACCCCCGATCGTCACTTGGATAACGGTGGGAGCAAGGATGCCCAGGAAAGCGGATAGCCAGAAGAACGGGAGGGGGACTCCAAGGTGCGGGCAAAGGATGTTCGTGACCCAGTGGGGTGGGAGCGGAGCGATGCTGCGCACATGCGTGAGTGGGATATCATCCCAAGGTAAGGGTGACATACCGAAGAATGATGAGGAACGAAAAGAGATTCGCTTTCTGGCTTTCGAGTGTGACTCTGAAGCGCTCTACTCGTTCTGCCCATTTTGGCATGGCGAGCAATGCGGGGCCCAATGCTGCTGAGAGCAGGTAGCATAAGGCAGAGCCGGTTGCGACACAGAAACAGCATAGAGGTACAGCAAAGAAGGGGTTCCAGACGGCGCCAGACAGGATAGAGAGATACATTGACCCAGGGAGAGAGAATGCCTGGTCGCTGTGGCAGGTCAGACATGGTATGGACATCAGGAGGAAGGGGCGCACAATAGATACACGACGACGAAACACAATACAGTGCGGAATGGATACATGCGCTTGTACTTCTTGAGCAAGAAGTCCAGCGCTTTGAGGTCCTGGAAGGACTTGGGGAGATGCAAAAGGGGGCGGTCCTCGCTAATATAGAGGTGGCATCAGCATACACGCATTTCGTAAAGTCAGGAAAGGCGCACGGATCTAAAGGCGGCATTGCCAAATACAGCGTCCCACCTAGAACCAGCGTGCTAATAACGAAGACGACGGCAAGCTTGAGTGCTGCATTCAGTAGCGGCCTCTTCTGGCGGAGGGTTGCAGGAGTAGCAGAAATAGGCATATGCATGTCGTTGTCTGGGAGTGGTACAGTTGGTGTTGTTACAGAGCCGTAGGATGGCGATACTGACGGCTCAGCGGTGGAAGGAGTGTGAAAGACGGTGAGGAGAGGACTGAGGGAATTACGTACGCGCACGGTGCGTAAAGAGTAGAGGGACGGCTTTGGTTGAGGAGCTGGAGGAGGCATGCTTTAGGAGAATGGACTGTTTGAGACTGTCGTGCGTTGGGGGTGTGTGCCAGTGCGGCCGAGGGCAAGATCGGAAAGGACGGAAGCACGGCTCAAGCTGAGTGAATCCAACCTTCCCCCCTATGGCCAGCAAGAGGTGGCTTTGCGAATCACCCAGACCCCTCGGACCGTGTTTCTCCTGTTCCCTGCGTGAATATGTGAGACTAGTTCGACTCTCCGTCGCTGGCCGTTACGAGGTGCGATCGTTGACCGTTCTTGTCGACGAAGTGTTCAAGTTGGAGTGAAAAACCAGGTCTGAGAAACGGGGAATTTGGCTGACCAGCAGCGCTGAAGTGAGCAACCATCACACACAGCATCGGGCACGTGGGCGCTTAGTTTGACTTGACTCCGCTGACGCGTTCGTCACTGACGCGCGTTTAGTCTCTATATAAGGAGCCTACAAAGTAGAGCCAAGAGACGTAACATGCACACCCAACATTAACTATTCAGGGATCGTTCTGTACCATGGGCCTTACAATGTTTGGATTCTTGTGCGTTCTTCTAACCCGGCTTACATTCACGGATCGATCTCCTTATCCATCTCTCGAGCTTCGCGATCTGCGTCATCATCCCCTGTTTATTCAGAGACTGCTCTAGATCACCAGACTTCTCTGTGCGCCTCTCACGATGTCTAGTGATATAGCGGGATGTACGTATTTGAATATACACAGGAAGTTTCCGGACGTTGCTTCGATGGAACGCGCCTCGGACTGACCCTATATCAGCAACTTGTCCTGGGGAGGTGGGAAAATCCCATCCGTGGTGCGCCAGCGCTATATACGTGAACTGTATTCCAACAACGAGGGTGCAGTGTTGGTTCACACAGGAGGGTTCTGAGGTGAGTAATACGATATCTATTATTCGCTTCATCGCGCCCCAGTCTGGTTATCGAATATCTTGGTGCAGAGATAAGGAGTATTGCTCGATCGTCGCTGGTAAAGTGATGTCGACGATGCATGAGAGTAGTAATGCGAGTTTCTGTACCAAACCGGAGCATCGATGAGCGCTGATAGCAACTTGGTATTGTTGACGAACGGTGCGGATTTCCATGGAAACAGTCGTCCACACTGGTTGCGGTCGTGATGTAGGTATGTTGACCACTGGCACTCGGTGCTAGGCATGTCTCCTAGGTGTGCATATTCGTTCAGTTCGCCTGCCACCGGGGGTGGGTCGATCAGCAGTGATGGTGAGTGTGGGGTGATAGGTTCGGGATCAATGTTTGGATTTCTGGATGAAGGATGCCATTGGTCGAGGGGAGGTATGTGATATGGGTCCGCGCAAGGCACACCAGCGATGTAAGACAATTATTCGCGCCTCCATGGCCTGCGCACGACCACTCGTCCGCGAGTACTGCACATTTTGTTTTTTGTGAAGTTATTTAAGTAGTTGGGGAAGGGGGAGGAGGGGTAAGGATAAAGCGAATATTCGGGCGAGTATGTTGCCTATTCTGGTGGGATGGTCGCTAGTTCCAGCGCTGTTGACCGTATTTGGGAGAACAAGCAGTGCGGATCCGGCGCCCATTCACGCGGTGCCCGAGGGCGGAGGCAGGTGACAGTGCCGTGCGGGAACACCCACAATCCCCCAAGGGCGACCGCCCATCCCCGACATCAACCCCTGGCCCTGTGTGAAGGCCCTCATCCTCACCTCCTGATTCTCCCTTCTCTCCTCGACAGCCAACAACATACCCAAATATCTCTCTCCTCCCTCTTCTTGTGACCTTTGGGATATTTTGCTGTCTATTCTTTTCTCTGCTTACTCGAACTCTGATATACATATCCTGTGCTACGCTTCCCTCAAGTTTCCGTGTAGCGCTGCGACATGGATCCGAATCAGCAGCAGCAACAACAACAGCATCAATTCACCATTCCTCCCGGTTTCAACCTCCGGGCTCCCAACAATCTAGGTCGCGTCCCCCCACAGCAGCAGCAACAGCAATCATCACATCTCCCAATCCAACAGCTCAGCAACCCTATCCCCTCGATCCGCGGTGGCGTGCAGAAGCATGGCGAGCAAGAGGTCTGGTCAAGGTTGCAGCGCATAGTTGAAGAGCAAAACTCCATGGGTCAGGGGGGGCCTAATCCAGAAGTAAGCATTTGGTTTCTCTACTCTATATTCGTATATTGGCCTCGGCCATACACATCATATATGCCCCTGATGCGCGCTTCATAACGCGGTCAGGTTACGGAGGCAATCAGCTTTCCAGCAGTCACCACTTCCGCTACATCACTTGCCATTTTCCCCTGTGCACTGCTTACTTGTTTTCTCCTCCTTTCCTTTTCCCGCTGTCATCTCTCCATGTTCCGACCGGATCATGACCGTGACTCGCAGATCCTCAACGCAATGACTCAATTCCTCTCGAACGGCGGTGTCATGAACCAGGGTTTCCCTCAGCAGCAAGCCCAGCAGCTGCAGCAATTCCAAAACGTCAACAACCCCCAGTTCCAGCAGCAGCTGAATCAGCAGATGCAGCAGCCATTTCCTGGCATGCCCAATATGCAACAGGCCATGCAGAACAACATGAACGTCGGTGGTGGCATGCAGCAACCTCAGATGCAACAGCAACCGCAGCAGAACATTGCCCAGATGTTCCAGCTTGGCATGGGGCAACCGCCACCACAGGGACACCAGCAGCAACCACCGCAGCAACAGCAGATGCAGAACCAATTTATGCAGGGCACGCCGATGCAGCAGAATGGCTTTCGGATGCCCATGCAACAGCAGATGCCGCAACCTAAACAGGGCCAGCCGGCAGATCCTCATATGGCGGAGTTGTTGAACGAGCAGCAACAGCAAAACGGGGGTTTGAGGCAGGACCCGGGGAAGACTCTGAACTTGACCCAAGCAGAGGCTGTCGCAGTACGTTCATCATTTGCTGTGCTGTCAAGCGATCAGACTCATCCCGTCTTTAGTTGAAAAGCATGAGTCAACAGCAGAAACTGGCTTTTCTGACCGCGCGAATGGGAAATCAATCGCAAGCTCAAATTGCCGCATCCATCTCTCAACAGCCGCACCAGCCACCACCCGGATTGCCGCAGCAGATGCAGCAGCAGCAAATAAACAACCAGTTCCAGCAGTACATGACGCCGCAGCAGCCAAACCAGGCTGTCCAACAACAACTCCTGCAACAATCGCAGCAGTCCATCGCCGCACCTCAACAGATTGGAATCCCTCAGCAAGCTCAGATGCAGCAGGGTAACGAGGAGAGGCTCCGGCAATTCACTCCCAACCAAGCTCTGGCGATGGCAATGAATCCGAATTCAAACATGGATCCTCAACTGCGGCACCGGTTACTGGCTCGGTTCAGGGAACAGGCCCAGCAGCAGCAGCACCAACGGCAGCAGCAGCAACAGGCCCAGCAGCAGCAGCACCAACGGCAGCAGCAGCAACAGGCCCAGCAGCAGCAACAACAACAACAACAACAGCAGCAGCAGCAGCACGCCCAGCCGCCTCAAATGCAGCCAGCCCAGACTCAGCCAATGCAGCAAGCTCAGCCGCAACAACAACAGCAAATCCAGCAGCAGCAGCAACAGGCGATGCTGCAGATGCTGAATCAATCTGGTTCGATTATGCCTATGGCATCGGCGGCTATGAACCCGCAGCAGGCCCAGAACGCACCCGGTCCGATGGGTGGTCCTTCGGCGGTTCCAAATCCTAGGACTGCACAGTTCATAGCGAGCGTGCAAGATGTCCCTTTACAGAAGCTGGTTGCGCAGTTGACAAAAGACCGTGCGGAGCACGAAGTGCTCATGCAACAGCTGAAGCAAAATGAGGCTAATCTCGATCCCAATGCTGCGAATAACCTGAAGAATGCCATCAAGGAGAAGCACAACCGGATCACAATGATTAACAATGCCATCCTTCTCAAGAGGCAGCAGCAGCAACAACAACAACAGGGGTGCGCAGAGATTCCCTCTGATACTTTTCGTGACTGACGATTCAAACAGGCCCGGCATGATGCCCAATGCTCCAGGTCCGGGTTCTGTACCTGGAATGCCTATGGGGAATAATGGATTAATGGCGCCAAGCACGGTTCAACCGGCATCCCAGCCACCGAATCAGCCTCGATCAGGGCCGAGTCCATCGATGCCTCAGCAGCAACAAATGCAGCCTATTGCTGCTAATATCCCCCCTCAACCGACACCTCCAGTTACTCAACGGCAGGCGCAGCAGCAGGCATTTATGCTTAGTCATCAGCACCCGTCAAATGCTGCCCCAGGAGCCCAGAGACTACAGCCTGGTATGCTCAACAACGGCCTGAACGGCAATGTCGCGTTGCAGCAACAACAACAAAACATGCAGATACCGGTGGTTCTGCCGCCACAGCAGCAACAGCAGCCTCCTCAACAAGCCTCTCAACCGCAGACAATGGGCATGGCAAATGGACAACCTCAGGGACTTTTACAACGTCCACCACAGATCGGCCAAGCTGCACCCCCTCAAATGATGCCCATGCAGCCCCAGCAGCAGTCGTCCGATATGCAGTTGATGCAGAGACAGGCACCTGCCCCTGTACAACAGCAAAGTACCGGCACTGGACAAGCTGCGCAACATAGTACCGAATTTGATTTGCCTGCGTACATGCTCAACTCAAAGCCGCTGACCGATGCGCAAGTCGATCACATGCGGGTTCTGATGCCGTCCTGGAGCGAGAAGGATAAGTTTATACCTTTGGCTCGTCAAGTTCGGGACCGACTGGTTAAACCGTGTCCGAGACCTGAATTCCTTACCCGCTGGATGAGATACGCAAACAGCAATGCGACTATGCTCCAGAGGACCTTCAGCTTTGCGACCTCCGAGGTACTGAAAGTCGAAGGTGTCGATATCAACATTTACGATTTGTATGCCCTTCTGGTAACCACAAAGGCATTCAACAGACAGGTGAGACGACTAACACTTCGTTGAGAGCCTGCCCTCATATGTTTTTTCTAGATGGATCCTCCTCTTGATTTCTATGCTCGCGTGGCCGTTCGAGTTGGAATACCCGCAATGCCTGGCCAGGTTGAACGGTCATCCTTGCAGGCTGCGACTTCACTCAAGACGTTCGCGGACGTGACGCTGGCGCCCATCCACGATCAATTTCTACAGGATCATGAGCAATCCTTCCTGTATTCCCGAATGCTTACCTCTTTCTTTCACAACGTCAACGGAGTTCAGCAGTGGCGTGCAGACATCCCCCCTCCACCTCCAGGCCCGATAGATGCTGGCAACGCGGCAGCAAGAGCAAGGCCCCAGGCAGGAACACAAGCTCCGCTACCACAGTCGCAGCAGGACGAGCTGTGGTATATGGTGATGACGAGCTCAGAGGCAAGGCTCCGGGAAAGGTTCAGTGCGGAACATGTTCGCCGCCTCATGGAAGAAGTACAGCGAATGCCGCAGACCACCAAGCAGGAGATTCGGAAGCGTATTGAAGACAGTAGGGCCCAACAGCGAATGTTGCAACAGCAGGGACAGTCGCAGCCAAGCCAAATGCAAGCCGGGCCGATGAGCGTGCAAATGCCACAACCCACCCCTCCACAAGGCATGCAGAATCCTACGTTTGCCCAAGCGCAAATGGGAGCGCACCCTCCGACGCAGTCATCCCCTGCAAACATAAGCCTCGCCTCCTTGCAGCAGGGGATGAACCAATTTCCGGTACAGCCTCCAGCTGGGGAACAGTCAGTCGGAGCGCCGCTAACGGCTATGAGATTGCCTATCACCGATCCAGCGCAGGCGCAGGCGTTTGTTAATGCTCTCGTGGCAGAGGCCAAAACTCACAGTATGCCAATGTCTTTTCCGTCAGGTATCATAATGATTGTTCCTTCCCAGTGCCCAACCCAGTGCCCATCCATATGTCGCCGGAAGTGGAACAGAAGTATTGGCAGTTGGTCACTCTTGCTCGAGAAGTAGCTGCCCAGCTTCGACATGAGCTCACTCGCTATGTCACAATAGTTCCAGAAAATGGGTCAAGTGTCTTATTCACTGCCGCCCCGAAACTTGTGAGTGAGGCCCATTTAGAAACACCGGCAGAAATTGAGCCCTCTTTTCTTAGCTCATGTTGATCGAAGAACAAGTGGTTGGACGTAACAGCCAACCGCCCCGCTATTATCTGCAGTACCGTGAATTGCTGGAGACCATCAAACGCATGTACACCTGGGACACGATGATTCGTCACACCTACCTCAACATGCAGCCAAATGAAAGCCCTGGCAGATCTCCCTATTGGCCTTCATCCCAGTGGCTGAGGGAACAGGGCATAGACCCTCAGCTTCGTATTATCAATCATCATGACCCAGATCCTGAAATGGGACAGGCTGCTCAAGCGGTGCAAACTCAAGTTCCCGGCAACTTAAATCAACAGCGGAAGGGCACAAAGCGCTCCTTGGATGAAGGATCAGCTCCGCCTACGAAACGTGGACGGCTATCCGGTGCTGGTGTTAATCCTTCGCCATCACCGGCAATGGTTGTTCCCACCCCTGGACCATCCAGCACTCCTCATATGGATGCCTCACAAACTCCCGTGAATGCGCCTACCGTATCAGACACGGCCAGAACACCCAAATCACCTGAAGTCAACAAAGGCAAGGGTAAGACCACTAAGTCCCGTGCACCCCCCAAGCGCAAGTCAACCAAACCGGTACCGTCAACGGCAGAGGTCATCGTCATTGAGTCGACCCCCAAGCCGCAAGAGCGTGGAATCAAACGACCGCGGGATAGCGATATTATTGTTTTGGACGGTGCTGGAGAGGACGAGCCTACTGGAAAACGTGCCAAGCTCGACGTTCGGGAGGAGAAACAACCTGTTGCGGACGCCGTCGTGTCTGCGCCGCCGCCAGAGCCCGCTCAACCCGCTCAACCCGCTCAACCCCCTCAGCCGGCGTACAACATGTTCTTATCAATGACAAGGCCCGAGGACATTACGATGGAGCAGGCATTAGCTCAGTATAACGAACTACGTGACCAGGCCAAGCAGGGTGAAGAGGAGGCTGCCAAGTCTGTGGAGGGTGCAATTGTTGGTGAAGCGCCTGATCAACCTGCCGACTCGATGTTTGCTGGTCTGGACCTGGAGAGCGAGGTGATGGAGTGGGTCGACTGGGATTTTGGGGACGCCGATGAGTCGACACCGGAACTGGAGAAGGTTGCGCAATCTAGCCCAGAGACGACAGACTCAAACAAGAAAGCTGCAGTCCCTGGAGTTGATGGTGCGATCCTCGCTGCTCCGGCTGTTGATCCCCAGCCTCTCGTCGACGGTCAAAATGTCAAGTGGGACTGGGAAAACCCGGTAATCTCCGGGCGCTGGGCAATATCCGAAACGCCTATTATCTATTAATGTAATTCTCTCCTCAGTTTTTTCTGGTTCTTCAGGTTTGAGAGACTTGGCTCCTCTCTTGTGTAGTCTTCTCGCAATGGCTCGATGCCAAGCCCGATACTCGCCTCTTTATTCTTTGCTCTTTTCGTGTCGATGACGCATAGTCATTTAATATCCTCTGGTTTCTCTGTATGTGCTCTTGTCTGATTACCTTACATGCTGTGGGTTTACATTGTACGCCTAGTCTGTAGTCCCCAATACACTCTCTGTGTTGTAGTACTTGCCGCATGTTCTCAAATGACAGGCAAGGTAGCTTTAAACTGAGTGCGGTGTTATACAATGGAAGGTAGTGTACAGGTCTATCTCGTACATGAAGTAATATAAGTGACGGATACATCGTCCACCCAGAGGTCCTTACGCCCCTAATCTGCCAAATCCAGCGAAGGGATCCGACTTCCGTGCCGTGTTCCTCAACAAAGTCGCCTGCAGCTTGCTGACAGCTACACTCTTCTCCTTTCCCCTCTTCACCTCACCGTGGGGCTCAACCCTCGCCAACCCCACTCTACGTGCCTTAGCCTTCTCTGCAACCGCAGCGACGACAAACCCGCTCTCGGCCTCCATCATCCTCCGTTTCGCTTCTTCGGCAGCATGCCATGCCCTCCGGCGCTCCCTCCATTCCTCGGTCTCTTCCTCCTCCTTTTCCCTCTCCAGTCCCTCAGCTGCTGGGAGCAACTTGATCTCCTCGTTCAGCCCGTACTTGTCTTTCAACCCCTCGTCCGCAAGGCGCTGCGCCTCCAGCAGCTTCTTCTCCTCCCTAAACGTCTTGCGCAGCTTTGAGCTAACAGTGTACGGGTCGGCAGTCCGGCGTTCGCTCAGCTCCTGAAGGCTGTCGATCCTCGGCCGCTCAACCTGGTCGATCCTCTTCAGTGCGCTTGTCGTCTTCTCCAAAGCAGCAAGTGGGTCTGCCTCCCCCGCAGCCTCCGGGTCATGGACCGCATACCCTCCCGCTGCAGCAGGGTCCCATTCCTCGTCCTTCTGCCTCGCCCCGGACTCGACGACATACCGCGTGTGCTGGGGATCGGTGCGGATCTCGAACCACCCACCGCAGAGGTGGCATTTACACCGGAAGGCGTAGATCGGAGTGCTATAGTAGTTCCCAACCTTGCGTTTCTCTGCATTGTACCGTACTCCCATGCCGATGTGGGCGTTGCAAGTGCTACACCATACTACATGCACGTTAGGCCTTCGGTCATTCTTATACAGGAGAGTGACGCACTGTTGAAAGGTAACTCGAACCGGGTGACAAGGATGCCTTTATCAATCTTCCTTGCCCGATCTCCCAAAGCATGCTTCCCATGATATGCATTCAAGTTTTTATGCTTCTCCGGGTCATAGTCTGGAGGATAGTATTTGTTGAATCCCTGCATGGCACAGGTGGGTATGAGTATGAGGAGGTGACTGCAAGTGCTCTCATTTAACGTGCCAGCGCTAAAGTACGTAAGCGCCTGTAGAGTGGCGAACACTCCGGAGCTAAAGACGGAAGCAGAGTACTCTCCAAAGTGAAACTGTACAGTTCTAATCTTGTGTGGCTGAGTCCCTTTCCTCGTCGTTCACTTCACTTTCATCGTCGTCAAAGGTAGGCTGTTCACCGTTCGACATCGTCCATTCCAACATGGCATCACGTCCCACCGTTCAGGTCAGGGGTGCTGGTCAGTCTTTATCTCATAGTGAGGATGGGGAAGCTAACAACCTGTACAGAGGGCTCTAGCTCCCTCCCCCTTCCCGCCGTTTTCACCGCACCGATCCGTCTCGATGTCGTCCAGCAGGTGCACAGTGCGTCTGCTATACCCTCAGGTGTATAACACGAGCTGACACAGCTCGCAGAGAGCATCGCTAAAAACCGCCGCCAGGCGTACGCCGTAAACGTCAAGGCCGGCCACCAGACCTCCGCCGAGTCCTGGGGTACCGGTCGTGCTGTCGCCCGTATTCCCCGTGTAGGCGGTGGAGGAACGCACCGTTCAGGCCAAGCCGCGTTCGGCAACATGTGCCGTGGCGGTCGCATGTTCGCCCCGACAAAGACTTGGCGCCGCTGGCACGTAAAGGTCAACCAGAACCAGCGCCGGTTCGCTGTCGTCTCTGCTCTTGCTGCTTCTGCTCTCCCTGGACTCGTCCTCGCTCGTGGGCACAGGATCGAGGAGATTGACGAGGTTCCCCTGGTCATCCCCTCCTCTGCTGAGGGGTTCAAGAAGACGAAGGAGGCTGTTGAGCTGCTCAAGAGCCTGAACGCGTACACCGACGTCGTCAAGGTGTCCAACTCGCGCAAGCTCCGCGCCGGCAGGGGGAAGATGCGCAACCGCCGTCATCGCCAGCGCCGTGGCCCGCTCATCGTCTACAACGAGGATAACGGGATCGTCAAGGCCTTCCGCAACTTGCCCGGTGTGGAGATCGCCAACGTGCGCAGGCTCAACCTGCTCCAGCTCGCCCCAGGTGGGCATCTGGGCCGCTTCATCATTTGGACCGAGGGTGCATTTGCCCTCCTCGACGAGGTCTTCGGTACCCAGGACAAGGCCGCCTTGTTGAAGAAAGACTACTACCTGCCCACTGCGAAGATCTCTAACCCCGACGTGACCAGGCTCATCAACAGCTCCGAGATCCAGGCCGTCGTTCGCCCTGCTGGGGAGAAGATTCAGCGCCGCCCCTGGACGCAGCGCAAGAATCCGCTTGTCAACCGTGCTGTCCTCTACCGGCTCAACCCCTACGCTAAGGTGCTCAGAAAGGAGGAGGCAGCGAGGCAGAACAAGCAGGGGCATGTGCACAAGTCTGTCCCGGCTAAGGCACACGAGGCTGGCGAGCAGTTCATGAACATCCTCTTCTCTGCTTGAGTGGGCTGTGGTCGTCATTTTGTCAGGTGTATGCGTCCATAGGAATATGAGTTATGCATGCATGCTATTGAGTTGCGGTGGTGTCTATTTTACAGTAAGATCAAGCGCTGCTAGACAGACGCGTCCCCCGCGCTCTCAGCAGCAGCAGCTTTTGCCCTCCTTGCCGCCTCCCTATCCGACTCTGTAAGCTTCTTTCCCCACTTCGCCTCCACAGGGGGATCCCAAGCCCCAAGCTCGGCCTTGAGCTCCCCCAGATCCTGCTCCCATCTCTCTTCCCAATACACCGTAATAAGCGGCTTGCACTCCGCCGCGACTCTCATCGCCCATGGCACATAGTCCCTCAAGAGCATAGCCTTAAGTTCGCTCTTCACCCTCAGCGGGCCAAGCAAGGCAGACATGTACGCCATCGGCAGTCCAAAATGCAAAGCCTCGAAGACCTTGAGCGCGAGCTCATACTGCACACTGACGGGGAAGCCGAACAGCGTGTGGTAGAAATCGTGACACTCCCGGTAACGCTGCATGACATACGCGAGTTCGGGGTCGTTGATGTAGTGTACCTGTGAGCGGGTGTCGGGTGTTACGCCCGTGCGGTCGAGCCAGGATACGTACGTGTTGCCGAAGGTGTTTGCGGGCAACGCGCGGAGGGAGGGGAGGGAGACGGTGTCTGTGTTCACTCGTGGGCGGGCTTTGAGCACACGCCGTCCTTCGGGGGAGGAGAGCATCTTGTCCAATAAACCTGGTAAGGCGCATTGACCGGTCGTCTCTCCCAGCGCAGCGACCATATCTGCAATCGTCAGTTCTTACTCTAGTGGTTACTACTGATGGGACGTACCACCCCGCCTAGGGTTGAGAAGCGCTGTGATGCCCGATCCGACCGCAAGGAATGCGTTCTCGAAGGCGTTGAGGGGGATATGCCCAGGATACGCAGGCGCAGACCGATGTCTCCTTCCCTGTAGTGCGAGTGCCGCTCTGGGCAGCTGGGTGGGCGACTTGGGTATACGGGCGAGGATGGACATTGGTGAAGGAGGAAGAGGTGATGGGGACCCTGACAATGTTGAGCTCCTTCATCATCAGCACTCTCTCGAATGCCATTCATTACAACCTCCCAATGCCCAACCCGGTAGGATATATAACAAGACTCCACAGGAGTGGTTTGGTCGTGAGTTCCTCCTGACTGTCAGCAGAGAGGATTCTGAGGAGCGTGTAGCGCGACACTTTTGTTGCAGACACCCGGGGATGGTGCATATGGCGGATGAGAAAGTCGGCTGTGAAGATATCGCGTATATAAGGTATCCTTTCAAGGTGTAGAACGTACACCCGCACGGGGTGTCCAGACCTGTGCTTCAGCGTTCTTTCGGCGATATGTTGGCCACTGTGTTTTCGCGACTTGACGATTTTCCGCCTGCATGGTTATGTGCCTAATTTTGGGTCGTCGTGTGAAGAGACCATCTTCCTCTTCTCTTATGACGCACCCTCCACCACAGGAATGGACACGTCTTTATTTCGCCTCAGTATCAGTTGAACGTGGCATGTTCATCATCCCTGCAGGAACAGTGGTAATTGGTCGCCAGCTCAAGTCGCATCTTCCGTTTCACCCTCTCCGAACGTGCAGAGAAAGACGGCAGATGAAAACCATGCTTCCTTTGCGAAAAACAATATCCCGAGACCAGGGAAACCGACATCTGAGCAGAAAGTTCACAACAACCTTCCCACTTCGGATCCTCAGCCAAACTCTCTCTCATCGAGGGTCTAACAGCTAGCAAGTCTAATCCGTCATCGATCGTTCCTTGCCCCTCTTCACCCGTTCACCTCGTGCATAACAACAGGGATATCGGATCTCAGGGGCAACCTCATCCTGCTGTTTCCACTTGAGATACGCGCCGTCTCCAACAGGTACGCCTCAGCTGACCTGCCGAACGAAGACCTCCAGAGACACATCGAGGTAGACGTTCAGGAAGTCGTCGTCGCCTGCCTGCCGAGCCAGCGCATCCGCCGCGAAGGAACATCGCGGACATGCATACGTTCTTCGTTGTGTGGCAGCGGGCCGCATCCAGCGGGCAGGAGGGTAGGGGAATTCTGCTGGACACCTTATGGGGCATTATAAGGGCTCGCCGATTGGCCCGATGAGGATTCCTCTTATCACCAGGCTTATCGCTATGTTGTGCTGTTCAGAGAAGAGTGATACGCCAGTTGTTGTTTGTGTGAGGATGAGAAGTGTTGTTGATAACATATATATTGTACTCCGCTCCGTTCCCCTCGTCGTTAACGTCAAAGTCAATATCAACTGAAGCGATGATCAAGATGTAAATGGCTTCTCAGTAAACGGCTGATAGGCGGATCGGGAAGTGGAGAGTAATCAGGGGTATCGAAGCTTTCGGAGCAGTCCGGTGACCGAACCGAACACAGACTCGTGGCGGGCCGGTACCTGGGAAAATGGCAGAAAATTCACGATGGAAGTGTTGATTGCGCGATCCATCACACACGTGCTGAAGGTCATGATTCGTGTTGTGCGATGGTATAGTATGTGACGGTTGGCGTCCGTCTACAATGTGCGGGTGGGCAAGTGGAGAGAGCTCTAATTCTGGTTCAGACTAGCGGGGATAGCGAATGTGTGTGACATTCAATCGACGGAGAAACAAGGGATCACCACGCAGCGCGGGTTCAATAAAGAAGATCTTTAAGAATGAGCGGATAGGAAAAAAGAGTGTGAAATAAATGGGATGAAATGCTTCTTGGTTAATATCCTTGTGTTAACCCTGTCGTCTTCTCTCCTTTAGCCCTTGCCAGCATACGGGAATCAGCTTCCGTTTACGGGGGGATTATAAGGCCTGTCCCACCGCCAATTACCGAGCGGGGCGACCGGCGGTTTCCTGCAACGTCGCCTCCTCTGGCAATTCCCGCCCTCATCTCATCCCCTGTGTTGGGGGATCTCCCTCGACGTCGTCGAAGTGGTCGTCCTAGAACACCTCGAGCGCGGTCATGGACGCCCTCCCTGGTAGCATGGCCACCTCACCGCTTATCTCACCCTTTGACACCAACCCGTCTGCCTTTCCATTTCTCCCAGTAGCCGCTCATCACATTCATCAATCTCCGGATGAACAACTTCCGTTGATCAACGGAGGATCGTCACCCAAGAACAACAAGCGGAAGCGGACTCGGAACGAAGAGGATCGTCCAGAACCTCGCCGCCTCAAGCGCACCTACGAAAGTTGCGCTCGGTGCAGAAGCAAAAAGATAAAGGTGTGTTGCATACCTCCGCTGCTGATCATCGGCCGGTTATGCTTCCTTTCATGAGCGTCCTAATACTGACCTTGTTCTTCGGCAATTCCCGCCCCTTTTGTTCTGCATTTGTCTCACCTCATCAGTGTGATAACAACAGTCCCCGCTGTAAAAACTGTGCCGACGCCAATGTCGACTGTCAACAAGAGGATCGTCAGAACAAAACACTCAAGCTCCGTGGACACGAGGAACTCCTCCAGTCCCAGCTCAACTGCTGCGTCCTGTTGCTGAAACATCGAGATCCTTACTTTGATCTGAGTCGGCTGGAACAGTTCATCTCCGACGATAAGATCCAAATCTCCGAAGAGGATGCAGATGTCCTTCGGAAAAACTCGCAGCTTCTTAGGGGGATTAACCCATCTCCGCGGAGCCGACCGATCAAGGATCTCCCTCAGCGGCCTACACAGGGGGACATCTCTCCCAACGAGTCAGAGGAGACCTATGCTCCAACATATCCTCCTCCCCCTCCTCCTCCCCCTCTTACTATCCCTCCAACTTTTATTCCCCCTACCTTCCCCTTCTCTGACAGGACCGAGTTTGCGGGCACTAAGCTAGCACCCACGTTTGAGTTCGATGGCTTGCCCCCGGAACTCGTACATGGGAATCCTGGTGATGACTTGCGCGGCCAAGATCCACGAGGGAATGACCTCTCCAACAGCGCTGCTGCTGCGCGCTCATTACGCGTCGACCGAATCCTTCGCGAGTCCTCCTTCCTCATCCCGCATAAAGCGCGTATGATGAACGACGAGGACTCGCCCGATCTTCCCGATCGCGGGCGGACGCCTTACGAAGGCCCTGAAGTCCCTACGGACGACCCGGCACTTATGGGCGACATCGAGGAGAATCAATGGCTCAGCCGGCCCGTGATTCGGAACGAACATCCGGGAAAGCCCCCTACGGACAAGGAGAAAAATCGCGTTTTTCTCCCGAAGAATAGAACAGAAGTGGCACGTCTCGTGGACGTCTACTTCCAGCGTCTCAATCATCTCCGCCCAGTGTTCTCCTCTCGCGCATGGTTTGACTACAAACTCCAGGAAGAGTACCGCCTTATTGACAGGTGGAACGCTTTTGGAACCTTGGCGGACGAGACGGAGAAGCCAAGGCCGCCGCCGCCGCCGGAGATCATAAGACGCAGGAAGAAGGGGAAGAAAGATGAGAAGGACGACGATCCTGGTTTCCTCTGTTCTTTGTACTTGATCCTCGCAATCAGTCGCATGGCGGACATCGCTTCAGACCGCCAGGAAGCGAAGAGATCGGACATGAAGCATTTCCCTGTCCCGGCACATTTCTTCAAGAGGGCGGTCCAGATCAAGGCCGAGCTTCGGGTCACGATCTCCTCCCTGCAGGCGTTGATACTAATGCAGTGGTATCTCTACACCGAGGTGGGTAGCATATATAATGGTCTTGCAGAAGGTTGCTTAGGATGTGCTTCAGCGCCATGGTCGGACCTTGTGGAGACTTGTCGGTAACTTGGTCCGCCTAGCGATCGAGCTCGGGCTTCATCACGACCCTATCGATTCTGGGGACACCTTCGACCCTGACGAGATTGAAGATCGCCGACGTCTGTGGTGGATCGTCCTTGTCCAAGACCGCGGAACGTCTGTCCTTCTTGGGCGTCCTATTGGTATTGGCGAGAATGACTACAACACCCACAAGCCTGAATCTGAGACAAACTTCGACATCGGCCTGGAGATCACGCACATCCAGGCGCAGATCTGTGACACCTTGTACCGGCCCGGGAAGATCTCTGGTGAAGAGCTGTTCAAGTTCGCCAATGGGATCAACACGAAGCTTGTGCAGATGCGCGATGCACTTCCCCCAGAGTATCATTTCTATACGAAGGATACGGAGAACTGGGGCGATCAGCAGAAGATGGTCCTCCTTGCGAACTTGAGTCAGGAGCAGGGGCTGACCTTGCTGAAGTACATGATCGCTCGCATCATGTTGCTTCGTGCGATCTTCACTGCTGAAGACATCAGCGAGCATCAAAGAATGCGTGCCTTGCGAGACGGTGAGTCCTGTTCCCTTTTATGGATTAGCTGCTGATTATGCCTGTTAGCACTGATATCTGCTCATAACGTCCTTGTCATCCACAGCGCTCTTCTGCAGTTCACCGACTGCGCCTTCTTTGTCTCACCTATACCCATCCAGATTGCGGCCATGGTCGTCATCTACGCCAAGGCAAATACCAACTTCCTCACCCGACCGGAGAGTCCCACGCCAGAGCACATCGCCCGTGAGGATGTCTGCTTAGCGTTACGCATGATTCCTCAGTTCCGATGGCGATGGGGACGACGAGATTCTCATGGTGGTCAGTTGTCAGATTACGTCAAATACGTCTACGCCTCACATGAGCCCAGGCCATCCTCTAATGAACTTTACTTCTGAGGCAGTGTTTGGTCCTATCCTACATGCCTTTGGTCCACCAAACCCTCCTATGCTTATTGCCGAGCATCATTTCACGGAGCCAGACGATACCATTCCGATCACTTCGGGCACCTCACCGCTCTCAGGGGGAATGCTCTCACCCATGGATACTCTTAAGAACGTCCAGGGTTTCGAGAACAGGAAGGCGATCCTGAACATCGTCTCCTCGCTGTTCCTCGGCACGACACCCTCTGTCGCCCATCCTGACGCTTTGGAAATCGACGAGAGCTTGCTCAACGCTGATTGGCGTCATGGTCGTCTTGCTGGCTTCTCGCAGGAGAAGATGTCTCATCTTGACGAGGGCAACGTTAATGCTGAAGGATCCGGGGTCCCGGAAGGTTTCGATCTTCAGTTGCTTTTAGCGACTGCTCCCATCAAGAGCGATGGTTCCATGATACCCAGCCTGCGCCTCAATGCAGACTGGATGGTGAGTGCTGCCGTTCAATTCTATCACGTATGTCTAACACAGTTCATTTTTAGCCTGTCGTGACCGCACCTGAGAAAATGCAGGAGATCTTGGCCACCCATCCGATCAGCTCGATCACTTCTATGGGCTGATATATATTATTTCTCACCATCTTTCGTTTTATGTGGTCTTTCGTGTTCCTCATCTGTATGAGTCACCTTCTTGTCTACCATCATGACCATCAAGCCTTACACATAAAGGGCTCATGTAACATAAATACCCTTGTGCTATGAAATACCAAATCGATCGCATATTACGTTCAAAAAGTTGCCGTCCAAGAGTTGAGGGTCTTAGGCCCGATGATAATCCGAGAGCAGGACCTGGTGATTCCGCCGTTCGGACGAGCAGCATAAACACCGTCCTTACTCACCTTTATCCCACCACCATGGCACTCTCCACCCTGCAGGAGAATGCTGCTAGACTCAGCGCACGCATACAAGAGACAATTGCAGAGCGGACACGCGACATTTCGCTAGGCAAGTCACCTAATGCTGCGATGTTCGACACGTCGGAGGACAAGGTGCGACAGATCAGGAAGCAACTAGATTCTAACCAGGATAGGGAGAAGTTAGAGGCAATGAAAAGGCTTATTGCGGTGTGTTTACTAAATTCCTTGGGGCGCGACCACTCACTGACTACCTATTCAGATGATTTCGAAGGGTCGGAACGTGTCCGAGTTCTTCGCCCAGGTGGTCAAGAACGTCGCCTCGTCTAACTTAGAGATCCGCAAACTGGTGTACATATACCTTCTGCGGTATGCAGACCAAGAGCCAGATCTTGCCCTATTGTCTGTCAACACATTTCAGAAGGACCTGAGCGATGGCAATCCGCTCATTCGTGCTATGGCTCTGCGCGTGCTCTCTGGTATCAAGGTCCCAGTTATTGGCAGCATTGTTGCATTAGGAATCAGAAAGTGTGCGAGTGACCTCAATCCATACGTGAGGAAAGCGGCTGCATTAGCGATCCCCAAATGCTATTCGTTCGTCGCATCTTCCTTCTCCATGAATCTTCATCTCACATCTTAATTAGATTGGATCCAATGCAACAATCGGCACTGATGTCCATCTTGTCCACATTGCTTCGCGAGCAATCGCCAATTGCGATCGGCTCTGTCGCAGTCGCATTCGATGCTATTTGTCCTGACCGCCTGGATCTTTTGCATCAGCATTATCGACGATTGTGTCGCTTGATGGTAGATGCAGACGAGTGGGGTCAGATCAATCTATTGGAGCTCCTGATGAGATATTTAAGGAAAATGCTCAGCAAACCGCCAGAAGTACTCGAGAAGAAGGAGGTGAGCATCAGCACCCAATTCATGTGACCATGCCAGTCTCATCTGGTCTTCATAGGGGAATGAGACCCAGGATTTCCTGGATGAGAAGGAACATGCAATGGATCCTGACCTCGACCTCTTGCTTGACTGCGCTGAACCGTTGTTCCATAGCAGGAATCCGGCTGTATGTATCTGCTCACCATGACTGACATTTCCATTCACGAATGTCGCAGGTGGTAATGGCTGTTGTGCGGCTATTTTACTACTGCGCCCCTCTTTCCTATCGGGTTAAGGTGGTCAAGCCGATGCTGCGCCTTCTACATATATCTCAGGAAGTTGCGGATGTTGTATTAGGGGATCTGCTTGTTGTTGGGGCGGATGAGCCTGTTCGTAACAACGGAGTCTCCAATATCGTTTCAACAACTGACATTATCCTGATTTTACAGAAACTGCTGAGTGATTACGTGCCGCGGTTCTACATTCGAACAGCAGACACGAGTCAAACGAAGCGCAGAAAGTTGGCTATACTCGTCCTGCTGTTCAATGCAGAAAATCAGAGCACGTTGTTGCGAGAATTCAAGGACTGTCTTCGTGACCCATGCGACAGCGTCGTAATAGAGGCGATCCAAGCAATTGGACAATGTTCCCGGCTGGTGCCGACTGGTCGAGATGAATGCTTGAGGGCCTTGATGGGCTTGATGCGTAGTCATCATGGTACTGTTGCGAGCCATGGTAATGCCCAGGGTGCTGAACTGTGAGTAGATGCTGCCGTAAATGCCGCAGTGCTCGTCCTGAAGTCGCTCATCACGTCATTTGCCGCCACCGACGCAACTGTTGCACTGGAGCTGATATCCCGATTGGCGCGCCGCCTGCCTCGAGTTAAACATGCTCAAGCAAGAGCGGCCATTATCTGGCTTGTGGGACAATACGCTGCTGATGACTCCAGCTTAATCGATAGCTCGAACGGCGTCTCAAATCTTCCACCTGGTGTTGTGCGCTGGGCACCTGATATCCTGAGGCAGGGCGCACAGACATTTGCAGTCGAGGTAATGTGATTTCTCCTGGCCGTTATATCGTACACTAATATCGGATGATAGGCAGAGCCAGTCAAACTTCAACTGGTAACTTTGGCTGCCAAATTGGTCGCCCTCTCACCGACGGACAATCGTCTGGCACTGCTGAGCCGATATGTTCTGTCGCTCGCGCGTTACGACAGCAGTTATGACGTGCGGGATCGCGCGAGAATGATGAGCACCCTGCTAAAAGGAATCAATTCCAAGGCGGCTGCCAGCACAGTATTGAGTGAAGAAGACACTGAAGAGGAGCAAGGAGGCGTTGTGCTTCGTAGGGAGCAGGTCCGCCTTATTCTCTTCAGGGGAAAGGTGCCGCCACCTGACGCAACACTCCGATGGTGTAAGCTTGAAACGCACTGGTCACAAAAATGCTTATCATATCTGTAGGTCATAATGCGGAAGCTGTCCTTGGAAGCATGGCTCTGCAGCTGAATAAGGCTGTGGAAGGCAATCGTACACTTCCCGGTTGGCCGGAGGAAGGGACTGATCCATCCTTGCGAGAGACAGAAGAGGATCGGCCTATGGCTCAATACGTTCAGGCAACCGTGAAAAACATGACCGGGTTTGGGTCAGGCTCCATCGCTGCAATACCCACTCCCATCGTCCTCACACCAGCCGATGGTTCTTCTCCTGCTGGCTCTGTACCCCAGGAGAGGCGCACAGATTGGACAGATCTTGACAAGTTCTATGCTTCTGAATCTGAGGAGGAAGAGGAAGAGGAAGAGGAAGAAGAAGAGGAAGAGGAAGAGGAAGAGGAAGAGACAGAAGAAGAGGCGGAGGCGGTGGAAGTACAGAAGGCACGTCCCGCACCAATTCCCGGAATGGGCCCTTGGGGAGGAGCGGAGTACGACGAAGACGAGGAAGACGAAGAAGACGAAGATGAGGAAGAGGAAGAGGACGAAGACAATGACGAAGCCGTGGACAATCATCCTCATCTAGCTGAGATGCCGAGCAAGCTGAGCGGTGCGGCAGTGATGAATTGGGGCCAAGCCAATCTGCCGTCCGATGACAGCGATCCTGCTGGCTGGGGAGCAAGCAGTTGATATTTATTTGAGCAGTGCTGTTTTACAACAACATGGATGGTCGTGTAACACTAGTGTACAGCGTTTCACCCCTTTTTACACGAGCGCTCCTTCTGGGAGGGCGTAGTACCTTGCTCCCTCTGGGAAGACATGATCTATGAATGATGAGGTTCTGTCAGCTTTATACCAAAACAGAGGTACGTACAGAAGTGCCCTTTGGTCCCCGTGCTACCATACTTAGCAGGGAATTTCCAAGAATCTGGGACAACATCTTTGTTGATGCGGAGGTAACGATCATCATGGGGCGCGTCTATTATGCGTGATCCATGTCGAGGCAGAAGGAATCGACCCACTTGCAGCTCAGTGTCGGTAATGGTTGACCGAGAGACTCGAGCGTAACTGGAAGAAGCACTCTCAGCATACATAACATTCGCGCTGACATCCATATTCCTTACCCTATGCGGTAGAGACCGCGGTAAAGCACATACTGGCACCACTTCAGAAATATCAGCTTACTCCAGAATATCAACAACAGAGTCAGTGGACATACCCTATCCCAGTCATCTTCGTCTATGTCGTTCATTCGACCATCTTCGACAAGATACTTATATGGGGCCGCTAAATCAAACGAATGTCAATCATCTCCTCATAACCTAAGACAATACGCATACGTCGATCCGCCTTCGGCTTGGACACTACGTATCCAAGGAAGATGGTCTTGCAACCATGAATTTCTGATCGGAACGATAGAGGAAAGAAACAGACCGGTTCTGGGTACCATTCCGCCATAAGCCTACCCAGCTCAGTTGACTGGAGCTGTCGGTCTAGAACATCTTCCTCTGGAAGACCGATTAGCACATGTCAGCTGAGGCCACTATGTGCAGTTACCTTGGCCGTCGTGGGAAACCACGACGTGCACATTTGTTCCATATACATCCAAGGTGGCTGTAATCGCAGGGGCAAGCTCTCCATGCTGACAAATTATAAGTAAAGAAGGGTGATGGTAACGTGACGATGTACAGGGGACGGCAACAAATGATGGCTGGAGTTCAAGATAGGATACTGTCTCCACATTAGCTTGACTGCAATGCAGTGAAAGCACGTAGTTCTGACCTTCGATAGAAGCACTGCACCCCAGGTATGTTTCTGCGGTCCAGGGCCCGGGTCGATGTACTGTCGTCGATGCGTCAGATGTGTTGGACACCGGCTAGTGGCAGCTACTTACATAGCCAAGATCCTCAGTCAGGACCTGTGTTCTGCAGCCATGTGAGTATGAGATCGTGCATAGATTGCGGCCACCTTACAGGTCCCGGTTTCCATATACGATTCTCTATGATCACTTATTAACCGAACTGAGTGAGTGAAATACAACCCAGCTCACATTGAGATCTGTCTCCAGCAGTCCAACTATGTCGAGCTCCATGCCACCTATCTACGTGTATGTTCAATGTTAAGCACCAGAAAATAGAAGCGAGAAGCTAACCAGATCTTTTAAACGGCGCTGACTATCCCTTCCTTCCAAGTCGATCCCGAAGTGGACTGTCCAAATTCCGGCAGTGATGATTCGTTCGCCGGCTCTGTAGGGTATCGGTGGCTGCGTGGGCATGCGAGAGGCCGTGATGCCAAACGAAAGGAGTATGAGGGTAACCAGCACGTATGGCACAGCACGGAAGGGCAGCGATTTCAAGTCGAACGATTGTACCCGACCGAAGCTCAATGTAAGTCCACCACAGATCAGTAGAATCGTCATCCACATCAAAACACTCAAAGAAAATAAGCAGTGGCTTGATCACTCATCCAAGATACTCACAGATCTGTTCGTTCTCGGAGATATATTCCACCAGGAACAAAGGCATAAGCGACCGTCCAAACATGGGCAAGTACAAAGAGGTTATTAATAGTCCACACCAAGAACCAGGCGATTCCGGGCGCGTAAACTGAAGTCATATCCAAGAATGACGGTAAGAGAGACATGAGGAAAGTGGCCAGTCCCAAACCGCCAGCAAATCCTACCCAATCACGATAGCGATACATTGCATAGCTTGCACCAGCGCCAAAAAACAACCAAAGCGGGTTGCGAGGCAACAGGGCACCGACCCGGGAAGCGCTCAGTGCCAGGCCGGCACACATGGCCACAACGACGAAGGCACCATATGGTAGCAAAGTGGGTCCGCGTATGGGGTATCCGGTCCAGGTCCAAGAAATGAGCGTGCCAGCATCGGAGACCAGGGTGTGTAAAGCTAGATGGGATGAATTGAAATACAATATAGTTCAGAGGAATTTACCAAAGAATAGCGCGCCCATACCGCCAACGGCTCCCATATATCTCAAATACGATCGCTGGGTTCGGGATGCGACTTGGGCTACAGGATTTTTCACAGGTCGGAGAACACGTTCCACCACAGCGAGCGCTGCCAACGCAGTGGCCAGCTCATGTATACCACCTTGGTCCTTGTCGATGATAGGCCAAGTTGGTAGATTGGCATGGTTTGCCATTTTGATGACCACAGAGAAGATGATGCCGAGCCCAAGTTCTGATCCTAGTTAGCACATGTTTCAGCTCCAGTACTGACTGCAGGCTCACGAAGCCCATTGGTTCCGTCGCGAACCGATGTTGACCAATATGCAGCGGCGGCGGCAGTTTGGATTATATTCGCTGCTGCAACAGCAAACAAGCGATTCAACACCTTCTCGAACTGCCAGGCGCCGAGGCCAGCCATGCATCCTAGGGCCAACAGTAACCCTTGACCAGGCTGCGTGGAAGCAAACCGCCGGATGGGAGGGATGACCAACAAGATTGGTGACCATGTTGACAGAAGTGCGACTTCGGACCCAGAAATTTCCAACGCCCATACAGACCAGTAGAATAGCTGCACGCTGAGAGATGTGAGAATGGACCAGAAGACGTATCCTGTTCGGCGTTACATCCTTCTTACATCCTTCGATCATGAGGCTCACCCAAGTACACGTCGCTCATGAAGCTCAGAGTTGCACGGAACAAAGCAGGCTCTGGCTCAAGCAACTTGCTGATCTCATCGGTTGACATGGCAGAGATCACTTTCGTCTCTGTTGTGAGTATCTCCGTTTGGAGAGTTTCCTGCAGCACAACATCACTAGGATCAATGTCAGATACAATTTTGCAAGTCCACTCTAGCTATGCTAGCTTAGCTAGCGGACAGAGGTGATTAGACCGTACCCTCCCTTTAAGGTTTTAGCAGGTCCGCCTTGAGTGATAGTTATCTGCTTAGGGTTTAACGACTGATAGTGGCAAACAATTGCGCACGGACCTCAATATCTCGAAAATCTAAGACGTTTCTTGAATCGAATGCGACATCCGCAATGATGAGGTACCACTCGAAAAAGCTGTAGATGGTGTAGGCCCCAGGAACATGATGCACTACATTCGACATGTTAGAAGTATCTTACACCCTACGGAACGCGTACCCTTATGCCGGATAAAGAAGTAAATCATTGGGACAAGCATTCCGAAGAAGGAAGACGCAATGAGTTTTCTACCAAAATGACTTCAGGCTGTGGCTCCTTGGGCGGAGGCTGCGCCGCATACCTTTGTCTCCCGGACGCGGACTTCCCTGGAGGGGAGCAGGCAATACAGCCTAACATCCAGGGTAATGTCAACACAACGTAGGTAATCATGAGAACATCATGAGCATCATGATCGTCTGTGGACGAGATGTAGACCCAGCCGCCGCTGAACGCACTCAGCATCAAGACCGCATGCTGATACATATGGGCGTACCAAGAGACCGTCCGAATCAACCCAACAATGACAATAGCATTCGCCCATCCTGGGCTCTGAGCTCTAGATACTAACCAGCAACAGAAAAGCAAGCCAAAGCGCGGTGCTATGCCAATCCTGAGTTGTCGTGCTCTTACATCCTTACATGACGCGTACCAGCAGTCAAGGCAATGAGTATTTGGAAGATGCTCCCTATATGGTTGGGTCAAACAGGTTCATTCGAACATGGCGGAGACAGCACTCACGCTCTGGATACCAGTCTCCAATACTTCATGCCAATACTCAGTGAGAATGCACGCGAGCGCAACTGATATACACTGACGTCGCACTCTATGTTGGAGTGAACAGGCTGCGTCAAGGGTGTGTGGAAAAGGACGCACAACAGAGGGCCACCACTCGTCCGGCCATCCAGCTTCATGTCCACAAACTCGTAAGTGCCGTCCTTATGTCGGAGCACTCTGTGCGCTTACCCACGCCATTCTTGACGATCTTATGGTAATGCAGCCAGATCCCGATTGCTAGCGCACCCAGAAAGGCCGATGCCGCGCACAGGGTGTGGGCATGTACAATCCACGTCCCCGGGAAGGAGACGGTCTGGGGCATATCGACGACAGCAAGCCTCAGAGGGCAAAATGAAGGTTAAGTTAGGCTTACTCTAGTCCAGTTTGTACCTGGTTGTTGATGAAACGCAGAGCACCGCCGAAACAAGCCGATGCGTGATGCGTCATTCGTCATGCGATTGGGAGGAGCGGAACCGAATGTTTATCCGAGCAACGGGAAACTGAGTTGCGAGGTGCTACACAATGCATGTATCTAAGTCTAGTGATCGCGGTATCCTAGTCATGAGAAGTATTGCTCAATCTTCAAGCGAGTCGAATGTTACGGCTCGGCCTTTTGTCGCTTCCGTGGAGGTTGACTTGATCCCGACCCGCCAGCCCGGTCGACCCGCTGCGGCTTGACGATATTCAACCCTAGAACGCCTTTGAGGCCCATCATTCCCACAGTCTTCGGGAGGAGCGGCGGCGTGTTGTTGCTCCCATCAGGACACTGGTATTTTAGGACGTTCATCGCGTAGTCGTTCGCTCGCTGGACGAGGTCCTGCTTCGTCCAGCGGAGTACCTTCAGGTAACTGTTGTAATAGCCCATCCATGCCTTAAATGGACAGTGAGAAAAGCAACACGAGTATGCTGTTGACACCCTTACCTGGTAAGCTTGCGCCTTGCTAACAGACTCCATCGCTTGATATGTCTGGGAGACCATTTCCTGCGCGGACTTGAATGCTGGGCTTTGTTCATCAACCAATTCATCGGATCCCGCGTGACGCTTGAGTGGTAATTCGCGAATCTCTTTCTTACTCAGGAACGCTTCCTCTTCGAAGTCCGAGAGGATGAGAATGCCATGGCCTTGGGCCCCAGCTCGAGCAGTTCGTCCAAGTCTGTGAATATCTGCGGAGTGATCAGGGACATTGTATCACGAAAACATGTTTAGCTTACACTGCTCCGGAGAGGAGGGCATCCCGACTTGATACACGGCGGTAATACCAGGAAAGTCCATGCCTCGTGCTGTGACGTCCGAGGAGAACAAGATGCCTTTCATCGTCTCTCTAAACCCGTCCGCCTGTTTGACTCGCGCACCCTGGCTCATGCGACTGTGCATCTCGAACATTGGTGCCTGTTCAAGGTCGGGGATAGCTCTGAATAGATCGTAGGCGATAGCGGCTCCGCGAGCAGTAGAGAAGAACACGATGATTTTTGTGAAGGGGCTTTCCACAGCCTGGCGGAGAAGAGTGAGCAAGACGGCATCGATTTTTGCAAGTGGGGCGATGATGTAGTCTTGCGCCACATGCTTGTGTGTCGCTTCCTCCTCCTCGCCGATGGTGCTGATGAACTCGTGTTGCTGCTTGAGCACAACGTTTGAGATCTCCCGAATTTGTTTATCCACGGTGGCGGAGAAAAGTAATGTTTGACGCTGATCCTTGGGCGTGATGGCCCTCGCTATTTGCAATATGCTCTTTTGGAAGCCTTGGTCCAGCAGACGGTCGGCTTCGTCCAGGATGAAAGTCTGCACAGTCCGCAAGCGAGGTGTCAGATTAGAGTTCTCAATGTGATCCACTAGCCGGCCGGGCGTCTGAATAGAGAGTAAGTGCTGAGTAACTGAGAGTAGATGTATGCGCACAGCAATGAGGATATCACTTCTTTTTAGTAGGAGGTTGTTTCTTTGCACTTTGATATTGACACCTCCAATAGCAGATTGTGCACGATACAGCGAGCCCTCCAGGAGCATGTTGGCTTCGGCTTCTATTTGTAGGCATAGCTCGCGAGTTGGCGCCAGCACGAGAATGGATATTATCCCTGGAGGAGGTACCGGTTTGCGCGCGAGGCGGTCGATGGAGGGGACGAGGAAGGCAATCGTCTTTCCCGTGCCGGTTTTGGCTTGACCACTGGTAACGAAGTGAGGATGACGCTCCGGGCTGATTCTGGAAGAAGCTCACAAGACATCCTTCCCTTCCAAAATAGGCTTGAGCGTCTTCTCCTGCACCTCCGTGCAGTACTCGAAGGGTATGCGGTCGAAGACAGGCTTGGTCAAAAGACCTTGTTTTAAGAAATCAGAGAACTGGACGTTAGAGAGATATGCAGACTTGTCGGTGCTCGCAGGGGGTACGGCAGCTGGAACAGACAATGCAGGACTGCCGCTGGCTTGAGAGGTCGACGTAAATACGCCAGCGCTTCCTGAGGTTCGCAACTGGGAAGGTTGAGGTTTTGGAGGTGGACGAGTCCGTTTGCGGTTTGGTGCGTGGGATGGCCTTCCGTTGACCTGTGGTGTTGCCATAAGCGAAATATTTCGAAGATTGGCCTGATGCAGTGTGTAGAGGGCGTGCGTGGATATCGTAGGTATTGGCCTAATGGACAGTAGAAGTGTCTTTTGAACACAACGGCATGTCATTTGCTCTCCAAAGAAAGACTCAGACTGACTCTAAGATGGTTTCCCTCTTCCAGGGTGGCGCGTGTGAAATTTCCTAAACGCGTAACGCGCCGATGTTGTTATGATGCGCCCGAACGGAAGGAGAAGTGATACCGCACAGAACCTCCGGTGATCACGTGACAAAATACGGTGCCTCGCAATCAGTTTACAGCGCGCGAATCTCGCGGATTGGGGCCGCCAGTGCGGTGCGATTTTGGGGGTTCGTAAACAGTGCGCAACTGATTTGCCCCCGACATAAAAGGCCCGCGTCACACTTCACGCCGCGCCTTCATCTCACTCTCTCCCCCACCACCACCACCACATCCGGCAACTTCGCCACCCTCCGACTTTCAACAACCCACTCAACAACCTATCAACAATGTCTGGTATGCCTCTTCACTCGTCAATACCATCGATTCCAATACTTATGCTCCTTCCTAGGCCGTGGCAAAGGTGGCAAGGGTCTTGGTGAGTATTTGGTGGAGGTGTCAGTAGCTGGAGCAGCATACTCATCGATCTTCTATAGGCAAGGGCGGCGCTAAGCGTCATCGCAAGATTCTTCGTGACAACATCCAGGGTATTACCAAGCCCGCTATCCGCCGTCTCGCTCGTCGTGGTGGTGTAAAGCGTATCTCGGGTCTCATCTACGAAGAGACTCGTGGTGTTCTCAAGATCTTCCTTGAGAGTGCGTCCTGCCTTCTGTCCTGTTGTGAACGCCCGGCTCATCAATGTCTAGACGTCATCCGTGACTCTGTCACCTACTGCGAACACGCCAAGCGCAAGACTGTCACCGCTCTTGATGTTGTCTATGCTCTCAAGCGGTCAGGCCGCACGCTCTACGGTTTCGGCCAGTAGATGCTACTTTCTTCCTCAGTTCCCTTCTCTCGTTTGTACCATTTCTGTAATCCTCGGATTGAATTGCCGGAGCTATACATACATGTTAACCTATGGTGATACAGTATGACTATGACCTGAGCGTGTAAACATCTGTTTGCGTAGGCCTACTTTCTGGGTGTGTCTGGTTAGGCGTCCTCCCCAATGAATGGGTCTGATAGCCATTCCAAGCGCACACCAACGACCAGCGTCACTCGCTGTCTCGGATGTGAGATGGCGATCCAGGTATAGCATGTTCGTTCACCTCGCTGTCGCAATCGTCAAATGAACATGATGAGGCTTCAGCTCATCCATTTGTCCCAGCTCCACCGTTTGCTCGGCTTGAGCTGTGCTGATTGTGCAATCAGTCTTGGTCTTAGCGGTAAGGGAACACCTTCCGGAGATGGATGTGGGGTTGGTGCGCCATTTCAGTATTAGACATTTGGAGAATACGAGCCATCCATAGCATCCACCTGCATATCGTAGCATCAAGTTACATTTGCACAATTATCAGAGCGATCAATGGCTGAATCCCAGAGTCCACTATGTGGAGACACTTTCGTGGGACATCGGGTGGCGCGGCACGGCTAAATCAGTTGTGAGATGACTAGGCTCTCAGTGGCACTGTGCGGGGTCAAACTAAGGTCTACCTCCGTCTCTCCATTCCTCTGTCACGTTCTCCCACGCGATTCTTCGCCACTCACTCACATCGCGTCTTGTGCACTCTCTCGCCGTCACAAAACGTGTTCTGCCGACATTGACAGTTCCCAACATGTCGTCCTCACTTTGGGCGGCGGCCGCGCAAAATAGCATTGGAAATAAACAGACGGCCGGCATCGCGCCAGGCGCCTTTAGTGCCATCGCGCCAGCAAGGTCGTTCGGTGACTTATCTCGGCCAAGTGGCGGAACCTCTGTCTTCGACGCTCCTTCTGGGAGCAATGACTTCGATATGTCTGGTCTAGAGAGCGAGGCGGCTGTTTTGGGTGGTGGATCTGGTCAGAATGCGTTTGGTGCTGCGCGACCAGTCGTGAACGCTTTCGGAGGGTCGACATCGTTCAGTCAACCCAACCCCAGTTCCTTCCCACCATCATCTCAGCCATCTGCAAATGCCTTCGGTCAACCATCCCAACGTGCAGAAAGCGCATATATGCAGCCTTCTCAAGGTTCCACAAATGCCTTTGGCCAGCCTACAACTTCCAGCTTTAGCCAAGCGAGACCATCTGCGTTTGGACCGGGCGGTTCGGGTATGGCTACTACAACACAGTCTGCGTTCGGACCCGGAAGGTCGGGAGTGCCAAGTGCTGTACCTGCTCAGACAACAAGCGGATCTGCATTTGGACCTGGGGGAATGGGTCCTCCGTCAGGGGCAACCATGACGTTTGGCAGGCCGGCGCAGAGCACATTCGGTCAGCCAGCGGCACCCCCGCCCATGACTTTCGGTACTCCTGCTCAGAGTACCTTTGGACAGCCGACAAATCCGTCTGTATTTCCTCAGTATAGATCACCCGCCCCTCCACCCGCTCCAAGGTCTGGATATGTGTCTACACCAGTGTGGAACCAACCAGCTCCAGCAGTGCCAGGGCTCGGCCAACCAGTGCCTGTTACTGGAGCCACTGCTCAGGCCCCAGGTACAACACCCAGCCAGGCTTCCCTCCCTCGCTTTGGATCAGCCGCACCAACTCCCAACACCTTCGGCAGCGCTCCATCTCCCGCTGCAATGCAGCCTACCACGCCAGCTTTTGCGACATCTACTCCATCTAAAGAAGTTACGGATGCTTTCTTCAAGACTGTATTTGCCAAGAAGACCCAACCTCCCGCAACACCCCCTTCTGTTGCTGCTTTCTCTTCTACTCCCGCAAATACGCCGCCTGCTCCAAGTAAGTTAGTTTCTAAAAACATGGTTATCTCTCTCATTGCAACACCAGGCTTTGGCAAAGCTGTACCGCCTTCATCTTCTGCAGCTGGTGCTACGACAACCGCTGTTCCTCTAACCGCATCTGATGATGCAGCGACCACACAGGCGAAAGCAAATGCCTTCTTCTCGGGACTATTCAAGAAGTCTGAATCAGGGCCGGTCGCCAGCACGCCAAAGATTGAAGAACCAATACCTGCTCCGGTGGTGCCCTCGACGCCCGTGAAGGGAAAATCGCCGGCCACGGTGGAACCTAGTATCTCTACCACGCCTCCTGGACCTCCGCCTGCATCGAAATCAAAGGAAGAAGCCAAGACTGTACAGGACCACTCCAACGCATTGGCCGCATTCGCTATGAAAGCGGCAGACAAATCGTCTTCAGAGCTTGCGACACTGTCTCTGGGTAATAAAGCTGCCGATGCGGCTGTTAAGAGAAAGGAGGCGGAGCAGAGTCGAAAAACCGAAGAAGCTGCTGCTGTCGAAGCGGAGGGCAAATCCGCCGAGGCATTCAAGGCATTTCGAACTCAAGATCCATTCGAGCGATTCAAGACAGCACCAGCCCCCTCATGGCTTGATGCACCGCGGGAGAAGGCGGACTGGGAGATTAAGCTGGATGAGGCGAGGAAGAAACGGGAAGCAGCGGGCGCACAGACTGAATTCGACAACTCTGCTTTCACGAGCGCTCAAATTGAAGAACGGCGGAGGCAGAGAGCTGAAGAGCATCAATTAGAGCATGATGATTCCGACGAGGAAGAGGGAGAGGAAAAGGAAGAGGACAAGAAAAAAGAAACCTCGGACACAGAGGAAAAGGAAGAGAAATTCCCTGAGGAGAAACTGACAAGCAAGGAACCGGTTCAGAAGGAGTCTTCGGCAGCAAAACCGACGTCGATTGGCACTAAACTTGATAGCAACCTGTTGGGCCTTTCACTTGGATCGCCTCCATCTAAAGAGCTGCCAGTATCTGTGGGAGAGAAGTCTTCGCCCAAGGCTGCCGGTAAGTGTGCCACAAACCCATATTTTGCTCCCGTTTGACATTTAGAGCAGAAATTTCAAAACCTGCAAGTGTTCCTTCAACGGGCCCTACTACCAATCCTCCTCGCCTTTCCCCTAGTCCTACAGCTATAGCCGCACAGACGTCTGGTGGGAGTTCACCACGATCGCTGCCCCCGATTTCGCGCCCTCCTTCCGCTTTTGCACCCATCAAGAGTTCTCCCCTTGCCACCGCAACAGTCGTCGCCAACGAACCCATTATACCCGCTAAGGCACCATCTACATCACTCAGTTTCAATCTCGGTAAGAAGGCTCCGGCCAACAAGCCGCCAGCTTCGTCGAAGTTAGACGAAGTGAGAAAAATACAACCGGAGGAAGTTTTGACTCCTTCGGCTACGCTTCCCTTACTTGGTCAGCTCTCCTTGTCCACCTCGAAGGAAGGGTCACCGGTCACCAAGCCTGCGCAGCCCTTGAAACCAAACCCAATGGGAGGATGGCCAGAAGACCCGGTGCCTAAGTTCCGCCTGGAAACTTCTGTATCGCCTGACAGCAAGGTGGAGAGCACTTCCCGAGAGCTGGAAAAAGCCCGGCTGGCTATTGACGAAGGCCTGCGCCAAGTTTGTGTAACACTTCATCCTACGCGAAACAGGAATACTGACTACTTATCAGATACGTGCGACTGTGGAGAAATGTCGTGCCTATCATGAATTATTGAAAAAACCATCGCCTAATAGTAAAGGCCTCGAGCAGCTCACTGAAACAAAACGCTGGAATTTCGCGGACTTGAACTCATTGAAGGCCAGCGTGAATGACGTGCTGGCGGGTACAGGCCCTCTCAGAGATAAAACCTTGCAGTACAGGCGAGCATCTCTTGAGATTGACTCCCTGGTTCTCAAAGGTATTCCCTCCCTTAGTCACTGTACCCTGGCCACCTCACTCATGACTCAATTTTATAGCGGAGACAAAGAAAGAAGAGTGCGCAAGATTCAAGCGGGCACATGATGACAAGGACTTTGAGTCTATCATGCGTGTTCCCCACTTAGGACCGGAGCAAAGCGAAAATCAAGCGAAGCTTCGACATGGGTCTCTTGTAAGCATTGCTTTGAAATCCGGATGAACCGCATCAAGTCTCATAGCATTGTAGTTGGTTCACAATCAGATTGAGAGACTAGAAGATTATGTCGCCGGTGTTAGAGCCAAAGTCGTCCAGAGGAAGAACGGTGTGAAGCCTTTAACGTGTGTTGCATGCCTGATCTTGCCAAGCTGGTGCTAAGGTTTAATACAGAGGTCCTACCTTAGATACCGTCAATCGCACGATCCGTAATTTGGACACTGCAGCCGCGACGGAACTCATCACGCTGCAGGGATTGAACGATCGTCTCCAAGGGGCGAAAAGAATTAATCGTGCCCATGCACCCCTTCAGCGGGGAACTGAAGAAAGTATGGATGCTCTCGGCACAGAGATGTTGAACCTTCCGTCCACCACAGCTCAAGCTCAATCTGCATCCGCACCATCGACTGTATCCGCTACTCGCCTCAAGCAAGCGTTCCTTGCTACTCGCATCACACCTCTTGTGAATACTATGGCCAGTCAATTTGCCACTGCGAGGAATCCTGCCATCCTTGAGACCGATCTCAGTCTGGCCCTCTATAGCGGACCTTTGACGCTCCATATGGCACTTGCTGAAGAAGAGCTTGGCCAGTCTCTCAAGGAATTATCTCCACTGGCCACAAAGGAAATCCAGGCCCTAGAAGCTCCGCAGTCAGTCGAACAGGCCACAGTGAAGAGAATAGAGGTCAAACTGGAAGGAAATACTCCAATTGTCGAACAAGAAACGGAAACGACTGCCGTGCCCTTCAATATTTCTGGACCTCTCCCAGCCGGGTGGGAAGCGTGGAAAAATGCCCCCTACAAACCGCTAACGATTGACCCTTCGTTACGTACATCCCGACGGGCGCCTAGGCACGCATTGAGCGAACGGTCTGCTCTGAAAAGCACAGATGTATCTAAGGAACCAGCACATGGAACATTGGGTCCTGCTTCCCAAAGCCCAGCCCCTATTCCCAACACGGCAGATCTCAGCGCGAATGAAACAGGCTCAAGTGCTTCAGGCGCCCCGAAGCCTCCTATTTGGCCCTCTCTTATACCAGCCACAAGCACTGTAGTGCCGCCTTTAGGATCGATCCCGCCACTAGCTCGAAAGGATTTCCTTGGCTCTTTGCCACCCGTCAAGAAGGATAACATACCTGTTTCCCAACCTACGAAGCCAATCAGTATCAAACCTACTGTGTTCATGCCTTTGATGGGCAAACAGACCCAAGTCCCTACAGCAGAAGAACTACGGCAGAAAGCACAGCTTGCTTGGGGCAATCTAGGCTCTTCGAGCGACTCTGCTTCGAAGGACTCTGCTTCGAAGCCATCCCTGAGTTGGGACCCTTCGAAGTTCTTGTCACCTGCATCGTCCAGCTTAGCTCCAGCTGCGCCACTGCAAATTCCTGCGGCTTGGAAGGCCGTTTTGAGTGCCCCAGATCCAACGAAAACGCCATCGAGCGGGCCAGGGAGCGGACCACCTTCGAAGACAGCAATTCCTGTGGAAGAGCCGCAGCGCCCCGAAAATCAGCCTAGTCCCTCCGTCACGTTGAACACACAACCCGCAGAAGGGTCAGCGAAAGACGTGCAGGCATCTGTGCGTCACTCTTCTCTAGGGGCGGTTAGTGATGCGTCAAATGCAACTCCCATGGCGGTCGCCGCACAATCAAAGGCGTCCCACTCCCCACCTTTACCAAAGGTTGCGCCGATCACCAGTGCCCCTTCCATAAGCCTGCCAGAAAGTGTGGTCAAAGTGGATGAAACGAAAACTACACCCTCCAAGGCCTTCGACTTCGCGTCGCTTACAAAGAACGCCGTCACCTCCGCCAACCCAGGAGCTCCATCCTTCTCAGAACTTGTCAAAATATCTGAGCTATCATCATCAACAACCAACGCAGCACCTAAGGCAGCCACGAACACCGTGGCGGAGGCAGAGGCGCCCAAAACTCCACCACCCCGTCCCAGTCCCAATCTTGCGCAGATGAATGTGCGTTCCCCTCCACTACAAGCGATGTTCGGAAGTAAATCATCTTCATCTCAACAATCTGTTACCGTTTCGGAGGATTCTACAGCACCCCTTCTGTCGCTGCCGCCAGCTCCAATGAAGTCTGCATTTGGTCCTGGCGGATCTGGTATGGCTTCTTCACCCAATCCGTCAGCTTCCAGTAAGTCAGCCTTTGGACCTAGTGGGTTTGGACTGCGTGCTCCCCGCCCTCCTGCGACAACAACCGGATCTAGATCTGCTTTTGGTTCTGGTGGAAGCGGTGCCCCTACCCCCTTGCATGAAGACACCAATCCGCCTGGCATCCAGTCTCCCACGCCAGCGCCTGTCGGAGGCACCTTCGGGATGCATTCAGGTGGTGCGTCCGGCGCATTTGCCCATTCTTCCGCGCCTCGAAGCATCTTTGCAAAGCCAGAGGGTTGGACGTCTTCAGCATGCAGCAACAACACAGGCAATGTTTTCAAGCCCGTAACTGTAGTACCCACCTCAAGCAGTCAGAGCGGTAGCTCCGATTGGGCGAAGCGTTTCGGACACCTGCAAAACGCCACAGACGAAGAAGAAGAGGACGCCGATGGGGACCCGGATCCCAGCACATCGCATGGTAATTACTCAGAGGTGGACTATCGCGGACAGGCCACCGAACTGTCTGATCTCGAGGAGGCCGAGGAGGAGTACGAAGTTGTTGATGAATAGTTACGACGCTTGTAGATATACCTCTACAACCAGATCTCCTAGTCTCTCTGCAATTGATTTTACATCATGAAGCGCTCGTATCAATCCTCTCAGCGTGTACCGTCAGGATGGTCCCCTGCCTGTGTGTGATGGGTTTCCTCTCCTCCAACAGTCTCCCGCTCAACAGCGCCATTGATCCTAGTCGTCCGCCCGGTAGCAGGAGGCTCCATACCAGGTGGATACACGATGATAGATTCCAGATGTTCCAAAGCTGCCTGTATATCATACAATAAAGCAAGTTGTAGCAATTCAGCTTCAATACGGCCGATACCTCTGATCCGGAGTAACAAAATCGCTACGTACCCGGCCGACCTCGCTAAGCTCTTCCTCCTCTCCTCCTGTGAATGTCTCAAAACGGGATTCGTCCGCGTCTGCAAACATCTCGTCTTCCATCTCGTCATTATCACCGCTATTTTTGTCGGGATGGAGCGCGGCACAGATGGAAAGCGCTTCAAATATTCGCTCCACTGTCCAACAACTTGTCAGTAAATATATAGGACCATGCTCGCATCTACACACCGCTGTCCTCGCTTTCCGGTGTTATCAACAGCTCCCTCATCTCGCTGTCTTCATCTTCAGGTAAGGGTTGCCCCGCTGGGGTCTCGTCTAGTTGGCAGTAGATTGCCGGTCCAGAGGGGGTGCGCTTCACGGCATGCAACGTGATGGAAGGATAGTCGATCTGGAAGCCGCTGCCAGAGGTAGAGATGAAAACCAGCACGCTACATAAGACAAATAAACACACAAATTCCAAGAATGTGTAGTTCTCTTCTACCTTTCGATCACATAAAGCGTACCCTTGATATTCTCCCCTTCCAGTCCAGACAGGGGTGGATCGAGGGTAATAGACACATTGTCCTCCTTATGCCTCAATACGGGTGGTATGGAGTCAAACGAGTCGGGAGTCGATGAAGTCAGATTATGGTGCTCTTGTAGAGTAATATAGGAGGGTGCGGCAGATACAGATACAGTAGGCATATTGGACAGTAAATGTGAGAGTCGTATTGTTCTTCAAGTTAGGGGTCCTGGCGAGTGGCGGAAATTCTGGGACCCTCAGTGCTGAAAAGGCGCGCGTGATTCTGAGCAACGCGAACACATGATGGACTCTTCGACCACCTCGCGCTCTAAAGGTGTCAATGGCACCCATGTAACAGCATCACTGGATGAGGCTTTGTCGACTCTATCCGCCGAGTCAAGAACATGTATACAGAGACTGGTTGAATACAAATCGCCCAGTCCTATATACACGTGAGGCCTCCTCCTGTCTCATCCGTTTTCTGACAGGAGTCGTCCTCTCATAGCCTCAGCAACGTCCCACCACACCAAAAGCTTGCTGCTGTCCTTATTCTGTTGTTTGAACAGGAGGGATCGTTATGGGTGCTCCTGACGACGCGGTCGAAGCATCTCCGGAGCCATCCGGGTCAGACAGCTCTGCCAGGGGGAAAGGTAGACCCCGGGGAGAAGGATCCCTTTACCACAGCTGTACGTCAATATTCAACTCAAGGGTGTACATTGAAAAAAAATTGAGGCTCACATCTAAAGAGACGAGAAGCCTTCGAAGAATGCGGGCTGCCTCTGTCCCATCCTGCCATCCAGGACATCACCCTGTTGCCTCCATTTCTTTCTCAATACAAGCTCATTGTGACACCATGTGTTTCACTCCTAACCGATCTGCATGTGCTTGACACGCTCATTCCAAACGTGGGAGAGGTGGACCATTGTTTCTTCCATCCCCTTGCAGCAGTGCTTGATCCCAGCGTCATGATAGAAGAAACTGTTGCCGACAAAGGCAGCGAGGACTGGCCATACGAGGAGGAACATCATGTACGGATCTCCTTTTTTGTGCCTCTTCGACCCCTTAATTTTGTGAATAGAATACAAGCGATCGTGCCTGGTTATGGGATTCCGTGTACCGCATGCACAGATTCCGCAGCTCCCACACGCCCGTCAAAGGTCTCACAGCGGACATCCTTCTCCTGACCGCCGAAATTGCTTATCATCGAAAACCTGTCTTTCAGCGGTACGCCCCGAATCAAGTGATGTTCGATATTGCCGTCCAGCACATTGTAGGTGGTACAGAGCCAACTGGGGACGGTCTAGAACGCATTGCCGGACCCACCGTGGAATTGGAGAGTAGAGGACAGGAAATCGGTAACCGGCCCCAAGATACTATCCTAATTTGAGCCTCTTCTTTTGGGTCTTTTATTCTTGACACACTAGTATTGCCAGCAAAGGCAAAATAGTTCTCTTCTCTATCCCTTGTCAGGGGTTGCACCCGATAGCACGGGGAGCATCCACCTATAGTTTCCACCTGCAGGAGTGTGAAGTGATGAAGTCAGCAAGCACGTTTTCCCTTTGATCCGACAGGTCACATGTGTCCAATTTTCTGGGTCTCCTCTGGTTCAGCAGGACCATTATGAGATAAATGCAAGACCCTAGCTCTCTCTCCATCACCATGTAAGTGTGCACCTCCCCCCCCTCAGGCCACACAGTTGTACTGAAACATGCGCAGATGATCACTGTGTTGCTTCTATCCAGTTATGAAAGGATGGGTCATACTGTGTTGGAGGATACAAAATAGTATATGTAGATTTGTAAAAAGAAAAAAAGAAACTGGATGAGCACAATGGGCTTGCGGAGACCCAATGCTTACCGACCCCCATCCCTGCTTGAGGGGTCTGTCAATATGAAGCCATTGCGGCTCCAGGTCCCCTTTTGTCGAACTCCGTGAAGACGCGTATTACGTCCTTCTGCAGGGACTCTGCATGGGGCGCAAAGTGAGTATAGTAGTACTAGTGGGTTACCCGTGGATGCCGTTTTTATTACAAAATGCTAGCTGCTTTGGGTCTCCTACCAACAAGGACTGAGTTAGCTCCGGTCCGGAATATAATTATGTAAGCGCATCGCTTTCCAATTAAAACCTCGATCACTGCTCCATCACTGCACAGCAGTGATCGAGGAGTCCTGCGGGAAACGCATGTGGGGATGTCGGGGACAGCCGTGACACGCTGACATGTTGGTCAAATAAGACATAGGAATGCGCCCCTGTCTGGTAAGTAGGCCAAAAATTAGTCGAAGTCGTCACCGTACACCGGTCCGGTCTCTATGTACAAGGAGAAGGGAAACACATCATAGAACGGGTGCGTGAGAGAAACTCACCTTTTTCGTGAAGCAGACGGTCGCATCATCTATATTCCATGGTGTACAACGCCCCTGCGGATTGTATTGGTTGACCTCACACGTGTAGCCAGTGCACGGAGATATGGGGCATGGGGTACTCAAGATGTGTCACGACCGAGAGGTTTCCTGGGAATAAGTATCCTCTTGTGTTTGAATTGTAGGAGATTAGGAAGACCATCATGGAGCGAATTGAGGACCCAGGTCATTGTTTCATTGATTCGGTGATTAGTAGGCACAAAGTTAGATGCCGAGCCGCCGGGATTTCTAAGTCGGACGGTCAGATGCTGCGCAGTCCAATAGAGTGGGGACTGTTTTCGAAATGAAGAGAAGAGAAGCTAGAGAGACAGGGCGATGAAGGAAGAGAATCAGGGTTCGGAGAAACCGGCTTGCGTGTGGTACGACCGGAGAGAGACAACTTGGATATAGATCCACCTGTACGGCCTGCAGATTTCTAATCATTAAATAGTTTCTTTTTTTTTTTGTGAGTTTTGACTGCGCATCTGAAGGTTACAAGGATAAAGATACAATGTGCGACGTGAGTGGGAGAGACTGAGATACTATAGCACTTAAGAGAAAGGGCGATATAAGACAAGAGACTAAGGGGCGCCCCCGCGTGCGAAAGACATCGATCGGCGCCCCTGTTCTGCAACAGCCTCCCGTGGTATTCGCTTCCTGATCGACGAGTACTTTATTGGAGGTCTGACCTTCCCTATATCTTACCTTTCTTCCTCCTCGATCGCGCATACACTGCGCTCGTCGTCCTAACCGCCATCCGCTCACGCACGAATACTCGTCCGCTAGTGTATTAGCCGCTCTTACCTACTGGAGTCTGAGTCAGCCATGCTGCACGGCCTCCAGACCTTCAATTCCTATCCAACACCTTTGTCAGCACTCCGAACCCAACACAGTTCAACCGTTCCCGCATCGTCGTCAGCGCCTATTCAGCCTACGCATACATCCACAATATCCTCCACACCACAGCTCACGGCGTCTGCCAATCAACCGAGCACTGCGATCGACTCTGGGTATGGGTACCCTCCGATGTTGGGCTTCAAAAGCGGAGCCCACTCCCTCACGCATCCAATGAGCCCTGCCAACAAGCGGGAGCTCGGGATTTCAGAGCAAAGTTCGGCAGGAAGCAGCGTGAGCCTTAAGCCGGCGATCGTCCCTCCTCAGGTAGGGAAGCACCGCTGTTGTGCGTATTTTCTACGTGCCCATGACCATGGTCGTTGATTGCCTAATTCAGACTGGACTCTTCTATCAGAATCCCTGAAATTCCTCTTCCTCGATCCGATACTCACCCTACATATGGGAGAGCAGGCCAACGCTCTCCTCGGCAAAGATATGCTCGAATATGTTCACCCTGAAGACAAGGAGAAAGCGGTCGAGGATCTCAAACGAGTAGTACGAAGCAAAACTTTGCACGGTAGTGTCACACGGTGTGTGAATATCCGTCTATCTGGAGGCTATGAATTCTGATCCTTGTGTCGGGCAGAGTGCGATACCGTCGTGTGACGAGCATTAGATATCTACTTGGGGCTGTGGACCTTGCCCCAGTACCCGACGCTCCCCTCTTCTGCATTGATGAACAGTATCTGATAAGTGACATTGTCATCAACTGCGTCGGGGACAACCTAGTGCTTTGCTTCTTTCATGCCATCGTTGGCAAGTTTGCTCCCTATTTATGGAATCGCGCATATACTCATACCTTTTATAGACAAGAAACCCTTGGAGGACCAGAAGGAAGAAGAAAAATCGGAATGGTCTAACTGGTGTGGTTCTCCGAGCAACGTATCTATCGTCGAGTATGCCGCCGACATGTACAATGCGCTCATTCCTAACTCGCAATACGTCAACCAGTACCCGCAACGTGTATTCCAGATTCTCAGAGCAGAGGGACGCGGTATCGTATTCACATGGCCGCTAAACGGGTATGAAGTACTCGAGTTTGGTGGAATCGCGAGAGACGTCAACATCGGTGGCTCTGGTGAGGTGGGCGAGGCCCGAACAAGCTGTACGAGGAGGTATAAGGCGAACTGGATCGGCCAGCTGAGTGGGATGCCTGCGGAAGTCGAGAGCGTGTACATCCCCTATGGTACCTTCTAACCTTGTTTCCTAGTCGCTTCGATGCTTATGCTTTTACAGGTTCCATCATATTCGCATGTCACCGGCCTCTATTCCAGGAGCACAGCATCGAAGCCGCAAACCTCCTCCGATCAACATATATCAACAACACGGCGCCTTACACCCAGACGGGCACCCAAAACAGCGGATATCAAACTCCGACCAGTGCGACGACTGCTGGTGGTTTCGGGCCCGGATACCCGTCGCACACATATGGATCCGCACAATACAGTCGAAGCATTAACAACCAGCAGGCCGAGAATTGGCCTAGCACTGGCGTTCCTCCGTCTCCCGCACTGTCCACCTCCCTGCCAACGCCGTTGTCGAGTATGCCCCCGCAGCCTTATCCCCAACCAACACTGTCGCAGCAGCGAGCAGAGTCCTCTCCCACCTCTGTACAACCTAGTCATCCTCAACATCCAACTTCTAGTGCATCACCACAATCAGCGCAAGATGGTCCCGGAACAGCAGACCAGGCACAACCAACACCTCCACAGCCAAAACGGCCAACGCGCCCGCCGACCGGCGTACAGGCATGTGTACAATGTGGCAACACCACCTCCCCTGAATGGCGCAAAGGGCCGAGCGGGAACAAGGATCTCTGTAATGCGTGCGGCCTGCGATATAGCCGAACAAGAGCGAAGGAGGAAGGCGGGGAAAAGATGAAGCGCGGAAAGCGAAAGAAGAAGAGTGTAAACGTGGAAGATGAGGAGGAGGATGACGGCAAGAATGCACGCAAGAAGCGAAAAGATGACGATAGTCCGTCCCCGGTCCCTCAGGCTTCACCAGTGTCGCCTATACAGATGCTGCAGCCATCACAGCCTCTCGTTTCTCCCTCGCTCCTGGGCGGACCACAACCTCTCCACCTGAATGGGATGGGTGTCGGGCTCCCTGGCTGGTCGCAACAGATGCACCCTGGAGAAGGACTTAAGGTTGTCGTACGCGAGCCGCAGGGCTTGGATCAGCCACTGCTACGAAAATTACCAGGCGTGGAGGATATGTTCCTTTTGCCCACTGGGCTTGTATGAATACGTATTCACCCCGTCTCTATGCACGGAGGCTGTGCTGTGAACAGTAGTGTACGTATGTTTAATTTTCGGATTGGATTGGTTGGATGGAAATGGAGGTGTTTTACTTGTTCAGTAATTCGTGAGGTTGGCAGAGTGATATGACTATTGTACAATGGTGGAACAGGATTAATAACTTTGTACAACGAGATCTATTTAAGAATGCCTCCATTTAGGTCGTGTGAGGGTTGGCAATGCTTCTTCACCGCCACTGAACCCTCGTCGTCTTTTTTGGCCGTGAACGCTGCCAAATACCGTTCATCGTCGTCGACAACGGCGTCCTCGCTGTTCACATCTCTTCATCGTCTGCGGCCTTTGCGGTCATCACCATCCGATAGCAGGTGACGACGACCGCGTTATTATCCTCCTTTCTCTCAAGTCAGGATGGCACCGCGAGCACGATCAGGGCAAATATCCTCCCTCGCTTCTTCCTCATCACGTTCTCTCTCTTCCTGCCTCCCGCGCCCCACTCTTGCATGTTCATCTCCCACCCTGCGCCGGCAAGTGCAAACTTTTCGCCCGCCTCCAGAATCCCGCACCATCACCCCTGGAAGCAATCCAGAGACCTTCAACAGTGAAGTCCACTTTGCGCTCCAACCACCGCCCAACTCCCAGGTCACTGCATTCGCCTACCGTGTCGGTCTCCTGCCGCCACGCTCCTCCGAAGCGCTTGAAAAGAAGATTGTCCCTCTTGCGCGCCAGGTGTGCACTCACCCGAGCTACATCCCTTTCTGGAGACAGCACCGTCCGGGCCAACCAGTACCACCCACCAACGCCCCGCTCGACGTGCTGGGGAACAGCCTCCTCGGACTGTTCGCAGCGGAGTATGTGCATTCCACATGGCCGCATTTGCCAACCAAAGCAACCAAAGCTGCCGTAAGCGCATATGTGGGCCCGAATACTCTTGCTGCTGTTGCGCGGGAACTAGGCGCAGGCCCGTTACTGAGATGGCAACGTGCGGTGCGCATATATCGATCATGTACTTTACGCATATTCTGATTGAACACATACAGGCAAGGACAGAAACGACGACCTCCCTTGTACTCACAGACGCCCTTATGACTGTCCCCCGCTCGCTCGTGGGGCTCATCTACCAGCTCAACAGCATCACCGAAGCTCGAAAATTCGCTGAAGCGTTCTTCCTCAGCCGACAGGTTGACCTCCGCACGCTACTAAAGTTTGTGGACCCTAAACTCAGCTTGGTAGACGTCTTGTACAAGTTTGGATGGGACAAACCGGTGACGAGGTGTGCTTCCTTGTGCGTTTTGTGTATTCATCCGTATTGACCGACCGTTTCGCAGGCTTCTGTCTGAGTCTGGTCGACGCACTGCTACGCCCGTGTTCGTGGTCGGTGTCTATTCAGGAGCCACCAAGATTGGTGAATCCTTCGGTTCCTCACTCAAGATGGCCGAGTACCGCGCATGCGAGGACGCCCTCTGGCGGCTGTATCTCACTCAGGCGCCTAAAGGATCCTACACCATCCCCTCAGCGACGTTCGACTGGGCGGGCAAGGACGCTCTCTTTCACGCTGCTGATTACTTAGATAATGCGGTCAGTGAGGTGCCCGCATGGGAGGGGGAAGGGCAGGCAGGTGTCGGTCCTGAAGTTGCAGCGGCGGTGTATCTCCCTCCCTTACTGGGAGAGAGCGAGGTACAGAGGGACTTAAAGGAGCTAAATGAGAAGGAAGGGACGAGGAGGAAGGAGAGGTGGAGAAAGCTGCTGAGCGAGGCGGATAGGTATGTGGATGGTGTGGAGGTTTTGGAGATGGAACCTGTGATAAGGTGAAGAGGGCGAATGTAGTGGTATTGGCCGCAATAATTCAAACGTTTCTCCTACACCACCTCAGTACTGAGAGGGGGTAAAGATGTCGAAATATCAATATTCTGGCACAGATGGAGGTTGCTACAATTGACCCTATACTGCTCCAATTCCCCGTAAAACTCGTTTTTAAAATACTCTGGGCAAAGAATATGGTGTCCGTGATGTATATACAAGCAAATTGAATGAAGACGGAGCCGAGGTTAGAAAGTCCGACATCATTGATATTGTGTCACAGCTGGCACACAAAGTCATCCAAATCCCACCATGAACATCCACGAAATCCAATCTGCGATCTCTGCCTCACCTCGTGCTATCACAGTCCTATATTTCGCATCTGCACGTACGACCATCGACATCTCCTATGAGCGGATACCTCTGCCGGAGGCTGGGCTCCCTCTAAAGGAGCTCCCGAAGCTGTTGGAGGAAAGGCATGCGGGGAAGGGACTGGGGAAGGTGTTAGAGCGATGTAGGTGGAGCGTGAATGACGAGATGGTCGAGCACATTGGCGAGGGGGAGGATGAGGTGGTGCTTAGAGGTGGGGAAGAAGTTGCGGTCATCCCGCCCGTCAGTGGGGGTTGAGCGATATGGGGAGTAATCTCCATTGCGGTATGGGTACAACATATTGCTCTGTCAAGCGTCATCGACTCTTCCATCACGACTCCGGCGACTTGGCCTTTCCCTTCCCCTTGCTCAATATCTCCTGCTCAAGCTCAGCGAGGAAGTCGTCGGCCGCCTTGAAGCGCGCTGCCTCATTTCTCCGCTGCATCTCCTCATCTCCGAACACTTTCCGCCGTTTTGCCTCGATCAACTGCCGACGTTCTTCCAACTCGCGTTTTCGCTTCTCCGCCGCCTTACTCAGCACTGGCCCTTGCTTCTCCTCTGGTTTTGGCACCTCCGCTGGCTCCGCAACCGCCGCAGGTTGAGGACCAATGTCCTCTTCCTCATCATCAACTCCTTCCTCCTTCCTCCTTCGCTCCGTCTCCTCTCTCGTCTTCTTCAGCTCCTCCATCTCCTTCTTCCTCACCTCTTCATCCTTCGAAAACTGGTAGAATCCCGCTGCACGAGCTCGGTTCTCGTACGTTGAGTCATAGTGTTGTGCTGGGTTGGTCTCCTTCGAGGACTCGGCGATTTGTGCGACGCGTTCTGCTGAAGGCTCAAAGACCGGAAAATGACCCAGCGTTTCTGCGCCGCGGAGAAGATAAGGGCTAAGGGGGATCAGTATTAGAAAGAGGGAAAATCAAGCTAGGGGGTACGTACTCGAACTCTTCTTCTGGAGGCTCGTCCTCATCTTGCTTGGCAAGGTGTCGCGGTACTTCGCTCTTCCTTGCCGTTCTTACACGACCAAATTCATCCTCATACTCCACTATCGGATCATCCTGTATGTATGATTAGTACGGAATGTAAATGTTAGAAGGACGTGCTCACTTCTGTTGGTGCCTTTGGCACGCGCAGCGACTCGTCCTCATCCTCACTTCCACTCCCACTCTCATACCGGTCCTCCATAGCCTTCCTATCAAAGTCCACCAGGAGCATATCATACTCCTTCTCACTTAGTCCGCCAGTCTGACCCTTTTGTAGCTTGTCGTATATTTGGGCCTTGCGCTCCAGTGCGGCCATTGCTTTGTCAATGGTAGGACGAGCGATCGCTTCTAGTACAACCATGTCACGTTCATGTCGGGAGAGGACACCCTTATTAGACTTCGCCCATATTGTTGGCTTCTACGTGCATTGGTATTAGACCGCGGAGGGGATGTAATCGTCGACATAACTCACCTTGCCAGATGGCAAAGGGCGCCTGATCCCATGCACCACTGTCGTCTGGCTGGAGGACGACGCCCTCTGCTTCTTGAACTCTGATTCTCTCTTTGCTAGTTCAGCTTTAAGATCAAAGAAAGACGTCGCATTTACGCCCGTTGCCTTTGACTTCTTTGTTGTCGACATTGTCGAGCTCGAGATGTGTGAGCTCGAGGAGGGATGGTGGCGAAATGTGTTCACAGCGCGCGCTTACGGCACCGATGCTCCTGAATTTTGGTCATTGACCACCACCAACTGGTGTCCCTCCAAAGCTCCTAATGACACTCAGCTTACTCTCATAGTTGTGTGTTTATATCTCTATTATGGATCCAAATAACTCAAAGGACTTCACATTTGCCAAGCTGAGCGACCTCAAGCTCCCGGTTACGTTTAGGATGTGCGTGTCGTCCCACACCCGGATTGGAGTGTGACTAACCGGACTGAACAGATCACAGCTTGAGGGCACAAGGAAACCGAGACCTTTCTCGGAGCTACTGGAGCATCCAGAATACAGATTCTCTGGTGTACAATCATCGTATGTCGAGTTGGCCTACCTGTCGCAGAAGCTCATAACTCAAACAGTGAACTGTCCGACCTATATGTGACTTGCCAGCTATTTGCCGATAACAAACCTCTGACGATACCCTACCGGACGTCTTACAAATCATTCAAGAAGGACTATATGTACGTCTGTGCCTTATATTAGTTCACTTGTTCCTGATCATGATCTAGCTGGAACGAATGGATTACCCTGCCATATCGGTACTGCGACTTACCCCTGAACTCGCAGCTATCAGTAACCGTATGGGATATCGAAGGCCCCGACCGTCCAGTACCTGTTGGAGGCTCAACATTCCGGATGTTTGGGAAGAAGTTGACTCTGCGTCGAGGCCAGCACCGGCTAGTGCTGTGGCGGGATCGAGAGGCTGATGGAGCACACGAGACCAGCACGCCGAGTAAGATTGGGTTGAAGGACGAGATGGGACGTTTGGAGAAACTTGTGAAGAAGTACGAACGAGGGGATCTAGCAAAGCTCGATTGGCTGGATAAACTGGCCTTCAGGAGGATGGAGGAGATACATGCTGTGCGTGAACCTTACCCTGGGACAAAGGTGCACAGAGCTAACTTGTAGAGAAGGCCGAGCAAGCTAATTCCGACAATCTCTTCCTATATGTCGATCTTCCGAGATTTGATTTCCCGGTGATTTATACCGAGCCCGAACCCTCCCTGGCTGCTCAACTGCCATCACATACCCCTATCGCGAGCCATGCATCCACTCTTCCCGCACCAGCACTCGTAAACCTGGACCAGCACCTCTGGTGCATCGCCGACCCAGATGTATCTCGAGAGAATCCAGTGGAAGACAAGCACACACGCCTGATTCGTAGCCACAGGAGTGCACCACTTGATCGGGACCTCAAGCCCAATGCCGAGACGAGAGACACGCTCAACGAGATCCTAAACTACCCACCTACTCAGGAACTCTCAGCGGAGGACAAGAACTTGATTTGGAAATTTCGCTTCTACTTGACGAGAGACAAGAGAGGGCTGACAAAGTTCCTCAAGTCTGTCACTTGGAGGGATGCGAGTGAGGTCAAACAGGCTGTGGAGGTCTTGTTGCCTATGTGGGTCGAGATCGAGCTGGATGATGCGCTCGAGCTACTTGGCCCGGGTATGGTGGACTCGAGAGTGCGAACGTTTGCTGTAAGGCAGCTCAGAAGAGCTGACGATGATGTAAGTGTACCGAGTACTGCTCCATCTCAGACTGACTCTTGTGCAGGAATTACTTCTATATCTCCTCCAACTCGTTCAGGCGCTCAAATTCGAACGCCTACTGGATGGCCATAGAACAACACGATCCTCTCAAGTTGTACTATCTCAGGAAGACAGCGGACTGGCAGACTTTCTGATCGAGCGCGGGGCGCAAAATCCTATACTTGGAAATAGGTTCCACTGGTATCTGATGGTCGAGGTGCTTGATCAACAGTACAAAGAGCTGTATGCGGGTGTGGTGTACAACTTCATGCGGAGGCTAGAACAGGTACGAATCATTACTCTCTATTCATCAGCTCGCTCACAAGTGATGCAGCTTCCTGATGGCATAGAGCGACGAGACATCCTGAAGAAGCAGGGAGTTCTAGTAGAAGGCCTTTCTGCCAAAGCCAAGGAAGTGCGAGCCTGGAAAGACGCGCGTCCAAAGAAGATCGACAAGCTGCGTGCCTGGCTTGGAGACTCGCGCAGTGGGATGGCAGCGATGGAGCCACTCCCTTTCCCACTGAACGATCGCGTTCGGATCACGGGTGTGATAGCCGACAAGTCGTCCGTGTTGAAATCTGCTCTTTCACCGCTTCTCGTATGGTTCCAGACCGAAGGCGGGGGAGAATACCCCATCATATTCAAAAATGGAGACGACTTGCGGCAGGATCAACTTGTGAACCAGCTCTTCACTCTGATGGACCGGCTACTGCGAAAGGAGAACTTGGATCTCAAGATCTCCCCTTATGCTGTTCTAGCGACCGGACCGACGGAGGGCATGGTACAGTTCGTCCCGAGCAAAGCGATTGCTGCGATCTTGAGCGAATATGGGACTTTGCTCAATTATCTGCGGGCGAACAACCCGGATGAAGGTAGTGTGGGCACGTACGGTGTCCGGCCGGACGTGATCGATACTTTTGTCCGGAGCTGTGGTGGGTTATCATCCTCTTGCTAGTTCTCAATAGGGATCTGACGTTGGACACAGCGGGATACTCTGTGGTAACCTATATCCTAGGTGTGGGCGACCGTCATCTTGACAACCTGATGCTCGCACCGGACGGGCATTTCTTCCACGTCGACTTTGGGTACATCCTCGGCCGCGATCCTAAGCCGTTCCCTCCACCAGTAAAGGTCTGCAAGGAGATGGTCGATGCTATGGGGGGTGCGACATCGAAGCACTATAACCGATTTAAGAGTCTCTGCTATACAGCGTTCACCATCCTGCGGAAGAACGCTAACCTGATTCTCAACCTTGCGACGCTGATGATCGACGCGCGCATAACGGACATTAACCAACATTCGGTGCACGAGCAGCTTCAGGAGAAGTTCCTGCTACAGATGACGGAGGAGGAGGCGATAAAGGCTTTCGAGACGCTGCTTAATGAGACGTCGTATTTTACGGTTGTGTTCGACAGGATTCACGATATTGCACAGTATTGGCGTAGTTGATCTCTTTATTCTCAGATACCCATCACGACGATACCTTATGTACTAATACACCTTCGCGAATCAGCATCTGCCGTGGTTCTTATATCAAAACGTACTCAATCAGTGTCAGAGTCCCGCTTCCTCCTCCCGTACCTCCTCAAGCTTCTCGTCCACTTTATCCTCGTTCATCTGCACCGAGAACTTGGGATTCGGCCCCAGCGGGGTCGTGACGGGTTCTGCGGGACGCTCGGGTGCCAGAATAGGCTGACAACAGATGTTTGGAGGGGCTGCTGCCGTGGTTGTGGTGGTCGTTTGTGCAGACATGATAATTGGTTGCGGATCAGCGGCTTCGGAGAACGCTGTGGAGTCTGAGCGCTAAACGGCGCGGTATATATTTGTGCAGATCGCTGTGCGACTCTGTTCGTGAGCCTTCACCGTATTTCTGCCAAGGCTCAATTCCCACTGCAACGCTGGCGAAGAGGAAGGGTTGTTTGTACCCCACATTCCAGCACCCTCATATCTATAAAACGATCACAGGCCAAGGAAGGAAGAGGTCAGCGGGCCCCCACACTCTCTGTCATGTGCACCACTCAATGTTGATGACGTCAGAAATGGTCCCGCCCATATCCCCTACACAACTCGTCGATCGCACATCTCACTCCGCAGGTGACGAAACGCATCGAATAAAGGGACAACAAGCCCGCCCTCTCTTCACTCTTCACACTTGCTTAACTTCCCCTCATCTCAACCGCATACACGCATACACGCTACCAACCTCCTGATCAACATTCATGTCGCTACAAGGCGACGAGACCGCCTCCCGCCACACCTCCGTCTCCAAACGGCCTGGGTCAACCGTCTCACGCGCTCAGACACTCATAAAACGCAACATTGCCGCCAACGACCTCAAGCCGAGCGATATCCTCATCGAGCGGTTTCAGGGTACGTCCTCTCATTGAACAGGAGATAATGCGCTCACGAAGAGGCAGCATGGAAACATATCGTCAAGATGCTTATCGCCTACTTTGAAGGCGTGGCAGATATCGAGAATAACACTGCGCGTGAGCTGACCAAGCTCGGCGGGGTGATCCAGGTGCCGTTTAAGGCGGGAAACCAGTTTCTCGGCGAGGGCGGCATGCAGGATGTCTTCTACTCCATCCGTGACAAGACCCGACTCAATGCGGACCACCATGCGAATTTTGCAAAGACGGTAGAAGGGTCGATCGTACAACATTTACAGAAGCTCAGGATGGAGATAAAGGCACATGTCAAGAATGTGCAGAATGACACGGGGAAGCTGGCGGCGAACGTTGCGCGGGAACGCGAGTTCTCGACAAGGGCGATCACCGATCTGTCAAAGGCTATCAACACGGCCAAGAATTCGCCCATGGGTGTACTAGCTAGGGATGACCCCTACTGTGCGAACGTGTTGGTCCACAGGCAGCTGTTAAAACAGGTGCATGAGGAGAACGCCCTTCAAAAATCGATCATCCTGATGCAGCACAACTCTGCCAACTTCGAAGAGGGCATCGTTCGCTCGATCCAGTCTGCCTGGCAAACATTTGACGAATGGCAAACGCGCATGATCACCGATGTACAAGAAACTTGGCGTGCTCTGGCCATGGCCATGGGTGGTGTACCCCCGACAAGGGAATGGGTCGCGTTCGCTGGTCGATCTGACCATCTCCTCGATCCAGATACACCTCTCCGCAACACCGAGCACATTGAATATCCAGGAAGGGATGATCCGAGTGTCACGCCTGTACACGTGGGTCTCCTCGAGCGGAAGAAACGTTTCACGCGTACCTATGCCGAAACCTACTTCGTTCTCACACCCGCTGGTTACTTACACGAGTACCCATCCTCCGATCCTCGCACTCACTATTGGCCAACGTTCAGCCTCTTCCTTCCTGCATGCACTCTCGGTCCTCCCTCAAGTGCGCGCACGGACAGGAGTCATAAGTTCCACATCGAGAGCCGCAAGGACAGCGTCCCCGGAGCAGGCAGGTTCCACATCGGCTCCAAGGAGATCGCATATACCTTCCGTGCACGCAGTCACGAAGACATGATGGAGTGGTGGAACGACATCCGCATGCTCGTTGCGCGCTACCTCGTCGCCAGTGAGGCCATCGAGCGGCACGGCCCGATCGAGGCTGCTGTACGTGCTGCTGGCTACATGAGCGAGGAGGAAGAAGAGGGCGGCTCATCCATAGAAGATGAGGAAGACATCGACCAGGATCAGTATGACGCCGGACAGGACGGTACCGTCGCAATCCCGTACGGGCACGAGGAAGACAACGTCGGTGTTGCCCCGGAGACCGAGCGTCAGTCCGAGGCACCCGCATACACCGCGCCTGCCAAGCAGATGGCGGTCACTATGGGTCCTAACGGATACCCTGTGCGTGAAAAATCCAAGCCTGAGATGTATTGATACACCATTCTAATGCGATACCCTTTTGCCTTGACAGTTGGATAAGAAACAGCCGGTCCCGCCGGCAGACTACGAGCGCGAACCGGCCGGCGAGTCCTCAGGCTTGTATCGTCCTGAACAGGTGATGTCCCCGAGCTCGATGGGGCCGACACAGGATGCGGCGATGGACGAAGGGCCTATCTCAGAGACTACAGACTTGAGGCGCCGCATGTCTCGCAGGGCGGAGAAGGCGCCTGAGGGTCGCGCACCGAGAGAGAACTCGGTGTCGATCGGCGAGGACCTTATGCCACCCCCAGCACCGGCGTTAATCGAAGCTCCCAGAGTTCACGAACCGGAGTCTGAGCTTGAGTCTTGCCAAGAACCTGAAGATATCGCTCGGGCGAGGGAACAAGGTTCCCCTCTCACGGCAACGTCTTCCCCTGCTAGGCAGAGAAGCGAGAATGGCTCTGTCGTCGGCTCACTGGGGAGCACGGCCGCCGTCGCTAATGCTCAACCCCAGCCAACGATGGGATATATCCCTACCGCACCACCGCCCATCACATTCAGCGTGACTGGTGCGGTAGATTACATGCCTAGCCCGCCCCGTCCGAGAGACGAGAGTGCCCGCCCGTCATTTGAGACGTCCCCTCCTCTGTCGGCGGAAGGGAGCATGGTGAATCAGGAGGAGTCATCCGCTGCTGAGGCGGCTGTGCAGAACGCGAGCATGCCTGGATTCTTGATTGCCCCGATCCAGGATGAAGAGGCACCCGCTGTTGCACCCGCTGAGAGCGCGGTGCCTGCCCAGCCTGTGGCGGAACATGTCGAAGCTACGTCTGTGACTGCTTCTGAGCTGACCACAACCCAACCTGCACCGGTTCAGGCGCCCACGGAGGGTGCAGCTGGACCAGCCCCGGTTGATGCAGATAATGAGACGATTGAGGAAACATTCGAGGATGCTGCGGAGGCTCCTGCTTCCCCTGCAGAAGCTGAGGAGGATGGGAGGCCGGTTGCCATTTCGTCTGCAACTAACGTTGACGCTACCGATACGCTGACACCGGTCTCAACCGCGTCTAGCAAGAGGAGCTCAAGACTCGTCCGGAAGGATAAAGGGAAGAGCAAAGAGGGTAGTACGAGTGGAGAGAGCAAGGGCTTGTTCAGCCGGTTTAAGGAGGTCCTCAGCTGAACAGAAGATTTCGACTCCGTTTCTGCCCTGTTTCTTTTGACCCCTCTGTGCCATAAGCTCCGATGCCCAACACTCTAATATTGCACCGAAAGGTATCATATGATGCTGTTAATGCTACGCTACATTGTCGTGCTTGCGCATGGGTACAGTAGTCCTTGTGTGCTGTTTCAAAATGGTGGTTATCGGATGATCCTGGATTTGCGCGCCATTGAGCTGCGCTCACGTAGCTTGTGGCCGTATTTGAGGAAAACGAGAGGAGCGGGTACGCCAATGATGAGCGTAATGAAGGCTAGCATTGTGTTTGCCCATCCTTGGCCCATAGCAGCGTACATTTGATCTGAGATCTGTTAGACACACCGACACAGGGAGAGTAGAAACACTGACTCGCAAACAACGGGAATGCGAACCCCAGCAAACTCCTATACAGGGCCGTAGCGGCGATCGCACTCGCGGCGTACAGCGTATAGGTATCCACCAAATAAGTCTGTATCGCCAGCCAAGCACTCAACGTCCCCATTCCATAGATGAACACTCCCAGGTCGGGGACAAACCAGAAGACCTTGTACTGCGCTGTCCAGCCGTAGAGGATCAGCCCGAGCACGGAAATGGGCGCGGAGACGAGGATGATTGGGATACGGAATTCGGGAAGGCCTATGTCGTTGTTTTTCACTTTCATACGGCGGTAGGTGGCGTCGATTAGCCAGGCGCCGATTTGTGAGCCGGCCTGATGTCATGATCAGTCCAGAAGGGAGGAAGGTACAGCGGAAGGACGCACCGTATACCCGGCACCAATAGCCAGATAGTTCAGACCAGCTATGCCGCTGCTCTCCCCATACTCCGTCACCCACAGCTCGGCAAACGTTGTCAACAGGAGATAGAGCACGCCGTACATGAGCGCCATATACGTGCCTATGATCTGGCAGAGCGGTTCCGTGCCTAGGAAGATGAATGGCCTGACCATGCCCCGGCTGAGGATCGCGCGCATCGACCGGTCGTGCTTGTCGTACACCGAATAAAGCTTGTCGTTCCCCGTTTCGCGCTTTAGACGCCGGACCTTGTCGCCCAGGAGCTTGGGCGCGTACGTTTCTCGGAGGAGGATCAGGCCAAGTACTTGAATAACCCCGTCGACGATACTCGTTATCCAGAAAATCCACCTCCAGTCAATAGACTGGACGATGAAGCCCGATATCATAGGCCCGATCGCGGGGCCGCTGAGCGGGCCGAGAGAGTAAAGTGCTTGTGCAAGCCCACGCTGCTCGGGGAGGAACATGTCCCCCAGCACCCCCCCACCGAGCGCTATGGGCCCGCCACCGCCGAAACCGGAGAGGAAACGGAAGGCCATCATCTGTCCTTTGGACTGGGCGAAGCCGCCGGCGATGTTGAATACTGAGCGGTGGGTTAGTTCTGTTGTGCACGGAGTGCCTAGGGGGACGTACTGAGGAAGAAGAGGTTGGCGAGTTGCAGTACACGGACTCGGCCGTAGATTTCGCTCAGGGGGCCGAGGACGAGTGGGCCGACTGCGAAGCCGAGTACGAAGATGGAGAGTGTCATGCTCGAGAGTGTGGGGTCGCCTGTTATGCCTAGGTCGCGTGAGATCTGCGGCAGAGCGGGAGCGACCATCGAGGATGATAACGGGCTTGCAGGAAACATCAGCATGGACTCGGTTATCAGCGCAATACTGGCAGGATGCACCTCATGAAAGTAAAGACGCTGACAATGCCCATGGCAGCCCACTTTTGACCAAACGACCAATTCTGCGGGTTTAGAGGGTCGTCAGGCCCGTCCCAGGAGATCATATTCGGGTCTCTCTCCTCCTTCCCTCCGCTCACTTCTTCTGCCCCGGTCGCAACTGGAACACCACCCTTCTCCACATCCCGAGCCTGCTCAGCTTCCTTCTCTTCTTCATCCTCGATATCCCGCTCGACGTTAGGCGTCCCCACTCCCGGCTCAGCAGCAGTAACCGTCTCGTCAGGCATAGAGTCCGTACTGAAGGAAGACATAGATCTCCGCCCCGACAGGTGTTCGCCCGCTGGTGTCGGGTGAGCAGGTTGACCCCGCTCGGGGTCGAGCGCTACTCGTTTCTCGTCCTTGGAGTTGGCCATCGTGCAGAGGGTAGCTCACAGAGCCCAGGACGACAGGTGGGGAGATAGCAGCCCCAACAGAACGTGTGGGAGCCTGCAGCGACTCAGGTGGTCGCCTCTCCTGTTGGAAGCCGGCACCGTCAAGCGCCCATGACCTTGGCAGTATTAGTCATCCTTTCATTGTTTCCCCACATTACTATTTCAATGTCCACGCAGAAGATGTCAGGATCCACGCTCAGAGAGACAGGTGGATGTTCATGCCGAAGAACAAACATGACTTCGGCCGTGCCATGCGAACGGGTATTTTGGGAGTCGGATCGCGATCGGGCCCGAAACCCCGTGAGGCACGGGGGGAAGAAGGATGAGCAGACACGTGAGGGTTCCCACAGAGCACGTGATGTATCATTGGCATGACATCGCAAATTAGTTAAATTACATTAATATCCTTCATCTATTGCATTCACCTCTAGCCCTCCTCATCCACAGCCATCATGTCCCGCCTAGTCCGCACTATCCTCTTCCTCTCTCCTCTCCCTTTTGCAGGCGCTGTAGTATACACCTACGCCTCCCGCAAACTCGCAAAAGACTTTCCAGACATCCCCATCCAGCAACTGCCAGAGGGGTCGTTCACCCGGCGCATAATGGAGGAGTCAAGCGCGCGCGGGCTGGCGCGATGGGGACGTGAGGGATCCGGAGACAAGGATCGACCGCTGTACGCAGCGTACACTGATATCGTGCGTCTTTCCCCTTCCTTCCGTGCTCTACCAAATGACACCAATTGACGAGCAGTACCAAACTACCATCCCCCGTTCCTCTCTCGAGTCATACGGCGCCCGCCTACTCGAAGGCCCCCTCTCCCGCAAAGCCTACGAAACAGACTCCTTCACCCACGCGTTCCTCAACAGCGGGCTCATGTCCCGTCACCGGAGGCTCATGTCCACAAAACGGGATGAGAGGGAACAGAGGGGGGTGTTCGAGCCTGGACAGGAGGCCATGGGTGGGACGATGTGGGTCCTCCGATCTACTGCTGGGGACTCTTCTGCTCCGACCGCGCCGAGTACGACAGCCGCGCAAAGGCAGAGTGCGCTGGACAGCCTTCCCCCAGACGTGCAACCTCCGTCCTCTGTTCCCTCAGCAACAGGCGCGCCAAACGGGATAGGCTCAACAGTATTCTTCTGGCGCATGCCAGCTTCCATCGTCAGCACATGCGACACCCTCGCTTCCTACGGCTATCCCTGGCGGTTCATGCTCGGGGGGTATCACGAGCTGCTGGTCGAGGAAGCCCAAGCCCCTTCGGCCAAGACTGAAGCTGGTGCTGGTGCCGGTGCTGGTGCTGACGAGCCGATGCTGAGAGTGACGTTCACTTCTGCGCACGTGTATGAAAGGCTTCAGGGGGACGGGAAGACGATCCCGGGGTTTGGGAGAGCGATGCATGCTTTGTTTGGCAGGGCGTTGTTGGCTAGTGCTAAGCGGAGGATCGAGAGCTGTTAAGGGAGATGAAGGAGCGGTGGGAAGGGTGCTGCAGTGTATACAGGCACGGACTGGTAGGTACATGTACTCTGTGTGGCTGAAAATGACACCGGTTGTCGTATCTAATCAGAAAAGAATACTTCTGCTCAGTAAACCCGTATCCCTACTTTGCTCGTTTCGCTCCAAAGGGGATCCGCTCATCCCCAGCTGCGCATGATCAAACGACATGCGATCCCATTACCAACGCGTGATACTGTACAAATACATGGTGTACATACTAGCCCGCTCCGTGGTACATGCATGTGGAGGGGATGTGGGAAGTAAGAGTAAGAGTAAGAGTAAGAGTAAGAGGAGGAGTAGGAGTAGGAGTAGGAGTAGGAGTAGGAGTAGGAGTAGGAGTAGGAGTAGGAGTAGGAGTAGGAGTAGGATTCTGGTTCTGGTTCTGGTTCTGGTTCTGGTTCTGGTTCTGGTTCTTCTGGTTCTGGTTCATACGGAGGGAGTTGGTTGGGTTGGTTGGGTTGGTTGTGGGGGTTGGTTGGGTTGGAAAGCTGGGTTGATTGGATTCGGATTTGGTTGGGAGGGTTGGTTTGGTTTGCAGCTTGCAGTCTGCAGCTTGCGGTCGCCTCGGTGAGGTGTGCGGTTCGTCTCGGGTGCTGTTCTCTAGGACCCACCCCCGGGGTAGAAGGGAAAGATGGTCTGCTCTGGCCAGCAAAAGGTGGAAAAGGAAGAGGAAGAGGAAGAGGAAGAGGAAGTGCGGAAGTGCGGAAGGGTGAAGTGTGGAAGTGTTAAAGAGAGGAAGGAAAGGAAAGGAAAGAAGAAAGGGGTGATTAAACTTTCTAGTCCCAAATTCGAACGGAACGGTGAAGGTGAAGGGGCAGGTCAAAGTAAGATATCACGAAAAACCAGGAGATCAACATGCGGTTATAAATGCATCCATCAAGCAGGAACGGAACCACAAGGAACCACAAGGGAACAACACAGGAGAGCATCAGCGTCGGCGTCGGCGTCGAAGTCAGAATGAAGTGCAGCACAGCTCGCAGAAGTGAGGGTCAGGCATCCGTCTTCCCCCTTTCTGGAAGATGAACGCTCGGAGTCCTCAGACTGCTATTCTCGCTCTTGCTCGATCCAGTCCCTGGTTTGCCCATAGCGGGCGAAGGGTGCGTGCCATCTATCCCCGGCTCTATCCCCGGCGCTGGCGCCAGCTCAGCAGGAGCAGGAGCAGGCGGAGACACAGCAGTCGGAGGCACAGCAGGCGGAGGCACAGCAGGCGCAGGCGGCGGCGGCCGGCGTTTCCTCTCCTCATGCGCTTCGAGTCTCAACAGCGCTTCCCGTAAAGACTTTACGTTCATCTCGATCGCTCCCCGGTGGGTGTCGTACATCTGGGTTTGGACTAGGGCGACTATGGCGAGTCGTCTGCGAGAGAGCGAGCGGAGGGAGGGAAGGATCGGCCAAGCGCCAGACCATGGCAAACGTATCAAACCAAGCACATCAAACCGACCAACCAAACGAAACAAACAGCAAAAAAGAACAGCAAAAAAGACCAGAAACAGAAACAGAAACAGAAACACACAATCAGCCCCACCTCACCCAAAAACAGGGAACGAACTCACTTTGAGATCTGCCAATAAGCAACGGTGTTCTCCTGCGCTATTTTGGCGCTGCAGCTTGCGAGGTATGTGGGGGTTTCTTGGGGGTTGGGGGGGGAGGGGCGGGATATGTTTCTGGGGAGTGGGTTAGGCGTGCGCGAATAGGGAATGGGGAATGGGTAGAACTGTGAGGGAGAGAGAGGGAGGGAGGGAGGAGGGAGACAGACGCACGCAAAAAGCCCAGCAAAAGCCTCGATATTCTCAATATACTGACAACAAACATCGTGTGACGCCGCATCGACCGGAGAGGCATCGGTGGTTATGTAGAGGCGGGAGGGGACGTCAAATAGGAAACATTTGGGGATGTCTAGGGTCTGTGTTCCCTCGGTCAGTCAGTGCGGGCAGGGGGATGATGGGGAGGGGATGGGGGGATGGGGCGGAGTGGGGGGAGTGGTGGGATGGGGGGGAGTGGGGGGGAGTGGGGGGAGTGGTGGGATGGGAGTGGGGGGACACACCTGACTCCAGTAATTCAGCGTCTGCTCCAAAAACGCCAACGTCGGCACAAGCCGCTGCACGACCCTACTCATCGCCTCAAACACACTATGATCATACACGCTCGTGAGATGAAACTGCACTCTCCCTGCCATCTCCTGCACGCCCGGAGAGGGGTGATCTTCCAGTTCCGTAAGCGTTCTTTCCTGAATCTGGCGAAAGGCGTCCTGCCGGTAGAACTCGTCCCAGGCATCACTCTTATGCGCGAAGACATCTACGTGTAACCCCGGGTTGTGGAGGGAGACGGTCCCCAGCACTCGGAGGAGGGAACGCAGGGACTCTGTATAGTCGTCTGCGGCGTCGATGAACCATATTAAGGAGGAGAAGTGGGAGAGGTGGGAGCTGTGCAGGGGGAGGATGTCGAGGGATTGGGAGCCGGGGATCTCCCATAGTTGGAGGGGGATCCAGAATCTGTGAAACGCCAGCGCAAGCGCGAGCACAAGCACAGTCACAAGGAGGAGAAAAAGAAGCACATGTGAGAAGTTGTAGGCAGGGAGGGGAAGGTGCACGCACTCAACATCCTCCTTGACGACGTCCAGCGTCGTATCGACAAAAAACGCCCTATTGAGGGGCAACCGATGAAACACTACTTCCCTGGCTGTCGTCTTCCCAGATCTGCGCAGGCCCATGATGAGGATGCGTTTGCGCCATGGGTCGGGTAGAGGTGGGATTTGGGCAGTGGGGGTGGGGGGGAGTGATGCGGCTGCGGCTGCGGCTGGGGGGGCTGGGGTGGGCTTGGGTTTGGAGGAAGGGAGAGGGGTTGATGATGATGAGGAGGAGGAGTGGGGAAAGGCGCGCCGCCAGAGGAACATGGGCGGTCCAGATGTGAATGTGTTGTTGAGGGGGAGGGGGCAGTGCGGGTGCGAGTAGCGGACGGGGGATGGGAGATGGGAGATGGGGGATATCCTTCAGTCTTGAGTGCAGTAAAGGGGTGATGATGATGAGTTATGCTTTGCAATAAACGTATGGAAAGAGTGTCTGACGATGTTGAGCAAAAACGGGTGATGTGGCTGTGCTTTGTGGGAAGAGGATGATGTCAGCGTGGGCCGTGTGTCTCACTCATGGGGGTTTATCTACTCTTCACCTAGCTGAGTGATGATCCCCCTCCCTCTCTCACTATGAACATCCAACCTACGTCATTCCTCCTACTGTCATTGCCTCATGCGTGTGTCATCTTCTCCCCCTCTACACCCGATCCACCCCCTCGCTCGCTCGATCTCATCTGTGTGACATATCCTGCACCGAGTAGCGTCACCCCTCCACCAGAAGAGGATGCTCAACCTCAGATGGAAACGCTTCTCCTTCTCAGGCTAGGATCACTCGACGCAGAAGAAGCGCAGGACATCCCTCTTCTACCATCTACACGCTTCTTACACCCCAACCCTACCACATTCTTATTCCCTCACACTTCACCGCCTATCTCACTCAATTTCCCTTCCCCTTCACAACAAGAACAGACCGATATAGACACCTTCAATCTCTTGTTACAGGACTACGCTTCCCTTCCTCAACAGATCGACGACGCCCTCTCCCCCCTCTCTCCCCTCTCTCCTTCTCCCCTCTCACCATCAGCCTGGGACACCCCGGCATACGCAGACAACGCCCGTGGCCATCTGCTCCTAGTCGACCACACTTCCGGTGCAATACTCGGCCAAGTACCAAACTTACATCTCACAGAACACCCCGATCTCAAACCCCACGATCCAGTGATAATCACCCTTCCCTCTTCTCCCATATCCACGTCCACCCCGGTTATCCCCCCCGGCAGCACCCAAGTCCGCCCAGCAGAAACAGAAGAAGAGTTCGCCCTAATCCTCCAAGGCGCAACCCTCCTCTCCCACGCAATCCAAAGCGCCACATCCGTCCTCGCAGGGGGGATAACCTACGCCGCCCAATTATACGTCTCCCACGTCCCGCCCTCTCCTTCTGGACCGACGCACCTGTCGAAAGAGGCGAAGGAGACCGTTGCGAGAGTGCATGCGTTTTCGGGACAGGCGGTAAGAGTTGCGGAGCAGACGACGGGAGCTGTACATCGCTTGATAGACCGCGCAATAGATCGGGCAGGTACAGCAGCCGGGTCGCTCATCCCCTCCGACACCTCCAACCCGAACTCCAACGCGGACGCGGCCGGCGAGCATGGCACTCCGCCCCCTAAATCCACTTGGAGGGAAGCGACCCGCCTCGGAGGGAAACTCTTCTCCCGAGTACTGATCAGCGCCGACCTGCTCCTCACATCCCTCTCGACCTCCGCCACCCAGCTAGTCGACACCTCCTCCGAGTCGCTCTCCCTCTCCCTCGAGCACCGGTATGGTCCGGAAGTAGGGAACGCGAGCCGGGAACTTACTCGGGCTGTGAGGGACGTTGGGGTTGTGTATGTGGATGCGAGGGGGGTGGGGCATAGGGCGCTGTTGAGGCAGGCGGGGGCGAGGGTTGTGAGGGTGGGGATTGCCCAGGGGAGTGGGGAGAGGGGGGTGTTGGGGGAGGAAGAGGGAGAGGGGAGTAAGGAGAAGGAGGAGAAGCAGGGGGAGAAGGAGAAGGAGAAAGGGGAAGGGGAGGGGAAGGTTGAGAAAGGGGATGTTAAACTAGGAGGAGTGGATGAGGGCGAGGGATCGGAGAGAAAGGAGAAGGAGCAGGAGAAGGGGAAGGGGAATGGGGAGGAGACAGTGAAAGACCAGGGGAAAGAGGAAGGAGAGGGGCACCCTGAGGAGGTCAAGCCGGGGGAAGTCGACCTTCTCCAGCTCGGAATATCACCAGCGCTAGTACCAGCTCCAGCTTCAGCTTCAGCTCCAGAGCTGGCTGAGAGCGCTCTACCGGGCGTGGGCGTGCAGGGTGTCCAGGGCGATGGAGTGCCAGAAGGACAACTGGTCGACCTCAGGCCCGCGGAGGAGGCCGGGAAGGTCTCGCTACCGGTACCGGTATCTGGGGCGACTGGGGTGAGAGTGCTCCCTCTGGACGTACGTGTACAGGTGGGAAGTGGGACGGAGGGGTTGGGAATGATGCAGCAGGGTTTGGGGGAAATGATGGGCCTGGGAGTGGAGGAGCTCCAGGGGTTGGATCTTGGCCCGGCGGACCTGGCGGTAGCCGAAGAGCTGGGCACGGCGGGCAAGGGGCAAGTGGGCAAGGGTGTATTGGTGGATCTTGATGCCTGATTGAGCGCGTTTGGCGTTGGGATGGGATGGGTTATGTGACGTGGGAAGTGGGAACTGATCTTTATTATTTTGATTTCTCTTTTGGAAACGAAACGGCTGTATAAACGTAGGAAGCTCAAGGGTGTACGATAGACTAACTAGAGGATAAGAGAACGCGTTAGTAAGTATTGGAGTTCCGAACCTGGGGACGGACAGCAGAAGACTGTTTCTTGCCAATGTTGGGTTATGAAACTACAGGTAGTGTACTGTACAGCAGTGCAGATGAGAGGGACGTACAACAGGTACATGTATAACGCACAACAGATAAATAGTGGATAATGATAATGATACGGTGCGGTGCGGTGCTAGTTGGTACATGTACTGTACTGTATGTGGGCGGGGTATCGGGGTATCGGGGGTATCGGGGTATGGGTCATCAGAAGGGAGGGGAAATGGTGTACAGTACAACAGTGCGGGTATCGGGTATATGTATCGTATCGGTTTTCGTAATCCCGGTGCGAGTTGGATGATAGGCGGAAAGGGGGGGGGGAGGGCTGCACGTCTCCCTCTGATCATGAGGGAGCGCGATTGGCTCTCCCACTTCCTGCACGATTATCTTGGATCTGATCTCGAGTCTTCTGGGGCCTTTCCGACGCTTGCTTGTACAACAGTGGGGTTATTGGGCGTACGTATATGTATCGGTTTTCGTTGGCCGGGTGCGGTTGTTGGATGATAGGCAGAAAGGAGGGGGGCTCTCCTTATCTCCCTCTCCGGGAGCGCGACTGGCTCTCGCACTTCCTGCACGATTATCTCGGTTCTCGAGCCTTTTTGGGCCTTTCCTCGCGCTTGCTGATTACCGGCTGAGCGGTTCCATCTTTTCGGCTTGCTCTTTCCACGCGACGTCTTCTCGCTCAAGGACGGTTCTCCAGCGAGCTAGGGGTTTCCCAGCCGCAGACGACTCGGCTTCATGGCTTCATCTCGTCACCACAGCGCTTGGACAACGTTCTTTTCACTCGCAAATTCCCTAGCTGCAACCCAGCACAGCGCGAACTAACATAAACCAACTCATGCCAACAACGGACAGACACAAGTAGACATACCGTCTCTGATCGCCCTGCGAGCATCGGCAGTGTCTAGCAGGTTGGCAGTGCACACGCGTAGCTGACGCTCGCGTGCTCTCTGGCTCCCGGCCCGGAGACACTCGATGATGGCTGCTTCGAACTTGGCCCTGATCTGTTCTTCGAAGTCTGGCTCTTGGGTCAGCGCAGAGCCTCGCGGGTCGATCGAGAGCAAGGCAAACGCACATGATTTCGCTACTTTGACGTCGTTGGCTCGAGCGGTGCCGTACGTTATATGATCCCGGATCTTGATCCCACTCTCTAGCTTTCGTTGCAGCAAGTCGACCTTGGTGAATAGGACGATGATGTTGGCTTTGCGTAGCTCGTGATTCCGACATACGGCACTGAAGTCGTCGATTGCAGTGACCATCCGGTTCTTCTTACCCTCTAGCTCGTCGAAGCAGGATAGATCGAACAGGTACACGATGGCATGCAGATCCTCGAAGTATCGAGGCCAGACTTTGAGCCGCTAGCTAGGCGTGAGTCTTTGCACCTCGAGAAAGAGGCAGACTTGCCTTCCCGGCTGTGCCGCTCACATCATATAGCACCAGTTTCGAGTTTCGAGGAGCAGTATGCCTCGTGACTGGCCACGAATCAGTTCTCAAGTAGGATTTTCGCTCGCCCATCGCATACCTGTCGTCTCTTCGATCCCAATCGTTCGTGAACGGCACCTCAAGATATCCTCTGTGATTGTGCCGTCAGTCATGGAGGGGAGCCTTTCCACGTAAACGCACCATGACTGGGAGAGTAACGGTCCGAGCTGATGCGTTCCATGTCATCCAAGAAGCTAGACCGTGGATTCAGCCAGGCCGCGGGCGACGGTAAGCGACTTACAATCCAGGTGCATATTGGAGAAAAGGCGCATGAGCACGGACTATCTCCTGTACGATTTGATGCTCCCATAGCGCCATGATCTTCTGTGCGCTTGTAATGACAAAGGTATTTGGTTCTTGTCGATGGGATTGTAATAGATCTTGTTGATGATCTTGATCCGATCCTGTGATGTCATTTGTCGCTCGGTTCGAGAGTCCCAACAACGCATCCTGCCAGCCTGGGCGAACATAGAGCTCACCCCCATGCAAGAAAATCCAATCCATTAACGGATTTGGCCTCTGGTCTGGATCTTCCGGCCCTTTGCGGCTGAATGTCGCGAGGAAAGTTTGTAGCATGGCATGCAGTTCGCCTTTGAGCCGTGCCAGGTCGTCGTCATGTTCCTCGAGCCTCACTTCTGGATTCTCTCCCTTGAACGTGTTCATGGTTGTGTTTGATGATGATGGGTTGTGTCTGTCAAGGAACTCAAGAAGGGAGGAAACGTTGCTGAAAATATTCCCGTGTACGACATGCTTCCACGCATTGCGCTCTATTTTGGCAAAATAGTCAGCGCTCGCTCCTTGTCAGAGACAACTACGCTCACCTGAGGTGACTGCCAAGGATTCGTACAACATTCGAACTTGCTTGCAAAACGTACTCTTGCCACTACCTGATGCACCTATCATCGCCATCAGTCCCCGCTGCCTTTTGCTGTGAAAGGAACAGGTACCAAGGAGCAGCATCCGGACATCATGCTTGATCTTGTCGCCAGTATCACGTTCCTGTTGATTGAGTGCCACGTCGATTGCCTTGGAAATTTGGACCGCATTTCGCTCTTCTCTCAAGCGCTTAATCCGTGTCTCCCCCGTCTCGCACCCCCGCTCCCTTCGCAATACCTTACCAAATGGATCTTCTCTGTCGTATTTGTGTATCGAGTCTTCCCCTTGGGCCATTACTCGACCGAATAATGCGGCTGGAGGCGGGTTTCGTTATTCTTGCATGATGGGTGACTAAATATGGTCAGGTGGAGGATGTTGGCGTTTCCAAAGATAGTCAATATCCAGATAGTCTTATATCCAAGTGGATGCCACCGAAAGTGGCCGACAGTAGACCGATTCAAGCTCATACTACTTGGCTCTGAGAGGCAGACCAGACATCCTGATAACGAGGTGTGAAAAGCTGCCTGAGCATGCAAAGGATCCGGGGGCGGCAAGACCTTGTTCAGGTTGCGCAAATCGAGATAAGCGGTGCCATCGATTCCACAGTGCTGGTTCACGGAAAAAACGGAATTATTGGCGGAGCTTGGCCATGAGGATGTTCGCTTTGACACTGGCATTGAAACGCAGGCCAGTACAGAAGGAGTGACCAAAACAGTACTATCCCGCACCATCACGGCTGGTTTTAAAGCATGAGACCTGCAGCACAAATGCCGCCTGCGTAGGTAGTAACATCACCCTAGGAAGCCGCAGCAGCGCAAGGATAGAAAATCATTCATCTTGGGTTGATGGTATTCTTCTTGGCTGATCGGCTGATCAACGGGCGGAAGCGAAATAGTTTGGCGGTCAGCAAGGGTCAAAGAGCACGAAGGAATGTCTTGTCACATCGCAAGCAGTTAAGCACGGCGATTTGGGTGTAGCTGTTGCGTGAAATGTCACAATGTCAAAGAGATATCTTGGAGAGTCTGTCGAGGTAGAAAATGCTGGTGGTCAATGATCATCACGTGTGAAGGTCGAGGAGAACCCTGGCTAACAGGATCCGCGTCTTCTCCTCGACTCCCGCTCTTACCACCAGATCTATCTCTTATAGAGCCAGTCAGATCGGGCTTGCGCGGTTTCAAAATTCCCCAGGGGGCCGACATTGGATCTGTATTATCGAATGTGTAGACTGGACTTGGCACGCTCAGAACTTATGTGTCAGATGCACCCCGAGTTCCTGGGAGAAGACCTTGGGACGCGACCGAACAACGATGCTTTTCTGGAATGCTTGTTATTCGAATGGTCATCAAGCTTCCGGCGAACTCTTTCCGCGCTTGTCCACCCTGAGGGTTTTAGGGGAGCAGGTCGGCATTGTCGGCAAGGCACCCGCCGACCCCACCCGATGCTTCTCATGCACTTCTCACGGTATCGGTGTCGATCCCAGTCATGAACTCTACGTCAACCTCATATGGCTACGATCGACCTGAGATGGCTCGTCGTCGGTTACCGTACGTATTGCTCTGGCTTGTGCCTGTTCGACCTAAAGTCGACATCGAACGAACAACCACGTGAAGCAATCGCCCATGAGTCACATTAGGCTAAGAGCCAAAAGTTCGCTCCACTATGATGTGCAAATGAAGCGCTTCGGACTCCGAGCACCCAGCGAGGATTATCTCTTGGATGATAATATTCCGGCGTTGCCCCCTGTTGACGTCATTGCATATAATCCAACTTATGGTATGGTACCGGTTTCAAGGAAACGCTCAATCAACACTGTGCGGTCTCCCTGCATGCGCGTAGACCTGCCTGTCTGTGCTGTGGTGGCTGCATCCCAGTCCCGCAACTGAGCTCGCAGCTTTGGCAAGCTTGGATTGACTACAACCTTCTGTTCGGTCATTCCAAACGCTTGTGGCACCAAGTCCATGACTTTCCCGTGGTCGAATGCCTGTGCTGGCAAGGCAGGAAATTACCACCGTCATTGACTGATGTTCAATCTCCCAAGTGCCTGCAGATCGGTCCTACTACGCCCAGTAGGACCGTGTTGCTGGTGTGTACGATGCGATCTCACCTGATCATTTGAATTGTCGCTGACCAACCTTCATATCTTCTTTGGCCTCTCTCTCATTACTGGGGCTAACCTCTGCACCTTACTGTCGCTGACTGAGCCGTCCCGCGACTAGAGAGTACGTGTAACCTACTTTTTGGCGCTGCATTCGCTCAAATCATTGACACAGAACCATATCAATGATTTACTCCATGTCCACCGATGATCAATGGAGGGTGTTACATTGTCCACTGCGCTCAACAATACCGCAAGGGGTGGAGCAGGTGCCCAGCATGTCCCAGCAGTACAGATCTGCTTGCTTGTACCTCTCAGTGATCTTCTTGTATCGATTCCAAGTTACAAGGACTTTACTCGCCCCGAAATTACGAGGCTGTCATCCCCATGCGCAACACATCCAGCGAGCAGGCATACACTTTCCTGCACTGCCCGAGTGTCCCAACACGAAGGCAAAAACATTAAGGAGCCTCTTCTATGGGGACATCTGAAAACGTGTCTATGTGTGCCTGGTCGATACAGAAGGTCTCGCGATCGGGCAGAAGGCCGGATTCTTCTTGGGAATGCGGAGCTTCGAGATCGCTGTGGCTTAAGGCATAACGCACTACATTTGGAGCAACCAGCCACATATCTCGTGGTTAAACACCAGAATATCGGTGTGACCATATCGTGGAAAATCCCGCATCGATGGCGAGTCTGATGTCATGGCTCAATGGTCACTCTCTTCACCCCATGTCGTCGTGCCTCATACGCGGGGATGGTCTCTTTCATTCTCAGAAACATGAGGACGGATCTGTCACACTCCACTCTGGAATTTGTCGGTGGCCCTTCAACATTGGGGTATGTTCGCTGAGCTGCTTCTTCAGGCGAAGGTCCCTTTCCTCTGATGGCCCCGATATTGGTTCGTGCGTCAAGGAGATTCTCAAGCGTAGGAAGCAAGCAACTTACTTCATTCGCCTCGCTAGGTGATGGACGTCTTATGATATCGACGGATTCTTCGTCATTAGGAAAGGGGATCTGAGAGAGGGCGCATGTTGGAAGAACTATAGCCGTACGACAACTTTCCTCCGATCGACGGGACAATTCCGTTCCCTGGGCACATCATAGGGGCGAATGCAACAACCCGACAATGAGCATGAAGATGAGCTTCCGGGCCTGCCGGTGGAATCCATGAAGTGGAACAATGTTGGCGTCAGGTTGCCCGACGAGATCCATCCTGCCAGGACCAGAACAATCGAAAGACGGATAGAGAAGGGGTCACGATTAGGCGCATAGGAATCTGTCTTGATCTCCTCCGCAGATTCAACTTATGGCGTGAGAACTTGGGCCATGATTACTGGAAATGGAGAGTTTCCCACATCCTCAGAGTGGTCACCCACCCGAACAACATTGTGTTTGTATAGCTGTCATGCCATTTCCAGAGCAGCTTTCTTGATCGCAGCCCATCATGTTCACCCTTGAGGTACTCGATAGGAAATTCCATCACATAAATGTATCGACTGGAACAGAAACGGATCAGGCGTTTCTTAAATTCGTTAGTGAAGGGGCAGGCCTAATACCTTCATCGCATTCGCCTGATGACAGGCGGATCCTGGTCTATGTTTCCCTCATAGGAATTGCGGGTTCTAGCTTTGGTTGTGGCAAGGTTAACCTGTGGGAAGGGACGAAGTTCTCCATCGTTCAGGCGGGTCATTTTTTTGGCGCCAAACTGACGCCCCACGCACACCATTCCCATACCAAGGGGACCTCGGAAGGGTTTCAGGTCTTAGCGTCCTAAGAGACACCTCCACCCTTTTTCTGAATCCATCTGGTTGGCTATCACTTGCGGTCAATCTGTCGCCGCTTCCGGTACACATACAAGCCAGGTGCTGGCGCCGCCCATACTACCCAACAGAAGGAAAACTCACCTTCTGATAATGGCATTCTTTCCAAGAGCGAGAAATTACGAACTGAGTAGTCCCAGAACTCTCAAAGACTCACTCGTATGCAGAGGTTTGAATCAACGCTGTCCAAAAATGGGAAACGCGCAGTCACGTTGCTTGGAGGAGAGGACCCAACGTCAGCGTGTAGAAACACGTGACCCCAGTACAAAGAGACGTGTTAAGGTGTTGCTCTCGTATTCTTTCGTCTTGCGATCAACAGGCGACACACAAAGCCGAAAGATCAGATGACCGAAATCGCCGAAATCCCTTTCATAAAAGCCATTCGCGCTGACTCAGCTTCGTCGCTTGTCCATATGCCCCAACGTCGCGAAGTCAAGAAAACTTTTTGCTTACTAAGACGGCACCCTACAGTGGACCGATTTCGGTTTACTAATGTACAAGTATCGGTGCTATATAAAGGGGAAAAGGTTGCCTGGACTTGACCAACGTGTTACAATGTCGATCCTTCCTAAGATTGTCGTTATTGGTGGGACCGGAGCCCAAGGCGTTCCTGTCTGAAAGTGGAAAGTATGAGGTCGTCGTCCTCACACGCAAGAGGTCGAGTGAGCAGGCACAAGCTCTAGCAGCACTTCCTAGAATCTCCCTATTCGAAGGGACCTACCTACAGGAAGCCGATCTTTGGGAAGTCTTCAAGGATGCATACGGCGCTTTCGTTAACACGGACGGATTTGTGATTGGCGAAAAAGGCAGAGACGTTTTGGGGTATGCGGATATTCGAAGTGGCAGTTGCCCAAGGCGTAAAACACTACGTCTGGGGTAATATCATCTACCACACCAAGCTCGGCGGGTACAATCCAAAGTATCGGACCGGCCATACCGATGGGAAGGCTCGCATTGGAGGTGGGTCGTAAAGTGTTTCTATGAATAGCGTTTGACTGAGCAGTAACACAGAATGGTTCCTTGCCCAGAAGTTGGAGGACGTTACCATCACACTCTTTACTACGTGCCCCTACGCCAATATGTTGTGGGATGGCCAATTCAATCCGACAAAAAACGAGGATGGTTCATTCACATTCTACTCTTCGATTGGTGAGTCGAGGAAAAGATTCAGCGCATGCATACTGACAGCAGATGGTAGGTGACGGCATGGTTCCTCTCATCGCGCTTGAGGATATCGGCCCCTACATCGACTGGATCTTCACCCACAGAGAGCGGGCTAGCAACTTGGATCTCGACGTGGTGACCGATATTGTGCAATATCCCGCGATTATCTCTTCTTTTGAAAAAGTCACTGGGAAGAAGACACATTGGAACGACCTTCCATATGAGGAGTTCGCGAAGATACGCGGCATGACGGACGATATTCCAGCTGCGTGGGCCCACACGACGGGCGAGTACAACGATCCAAGTGGGATGAGCGTCAAGGACAACTGTAAAGGATGGTGGAACGTTTGGCGGGACGGTCTATTTACGTGGGATAAGGTAGATGTGGACTTGTTAGATGAAATCCATCCGGGCAGGATCAGGGGCCTTGAGGAGTGGATGAGCAAGGTTGGGTATGATGGAGAACGGAAACCGTTCCTGAAGGACAGGATCGATACTGGTCACCGCCTGAAATGACAGATATGTTAGTGTGCTGAAGTAGAGTGGTGGACGGTGTGCGGTAGAGACGTGCAATGAAAACAGTCGCGTCGGACCCTTGAGTGACACGTCGACGAGAGAATGGTGAATAACTGACTTGCACTCTTCTTGGCACGATGTCCCTCATCTTCACATGCATATGTGTCGCTCCTAGATGATATGGCAGTAGAAAGAACACATACCCGACCCAGGCGGGAGATCACTATCAACGTGACTTGTAGAGAGGCTTGAGAGATCTGTTTCGAGAAGCATGACGGGTGAGTAGGTGTTTGGCTGCACGAACCCAAGACTGATTAACTTTCAGGACTATGTTGAGAATACACCTGAATGTCTGGACGATTAGCACGATGATTAATAGATGAAGAACGTTTTTCTGAGGACGAGGACGCGTCACTGAACCTCAAGCCATGATCTGCCCCACGTTCAGGTGCAACGGAGAAGTGTTGGCTGACATACTACTACAGGAGGACCGGGTATCAGCATGGATAGAATCAACGGGACCGCCTTTCTATCGTCTCGAGGAACATGGCTTTGTCGCATTACCCACGGTGAAATGAACCACCGAGCGAACTACCGAATGCTCTTTGGCTGACTAAGCTTCTGCTTGGCGGACGATTCAACAATGAACTTGTCGAAGACATTCCACTCGACGCTGACTAAGTCAACTACGAGGAAGTTTTCTCTTATTCGCCAATGCGAGTGAATCTCGATGTATAAAAACCATGATTGTTGACTGGCAACAAAGCCCAGCAACACATCGCAATGTCGACTCTCCCAAAGATCGTAGTAATTGGCGGAACGGGCGCCCAGGGCGTTCCAGCAGTACAAGGTCCGTTCCTTCTGTTGATTGGTGCAAGCCCTTGGTTCTGAACCTTGATACAGCATTGTCAGAGAGTGGCAGGTTCGAAGTAGTTGTTCTTACTCGCAACAAGTCCAGCGAGTCCGCACAGTCTCTCGCGTCTCTTCCCCACGTTTCCCTATTCGAAGGTACCTATCTCAAAGAATCCGACGTATGGGCTCTGTTCAAGGACGCCTATGGAGCCTTCGTTAACACCGACGGATTTGTGATTGGCGAGAAGGCCGAGATTTTCTGGGGCATGCGGATCTTTGAGATCGCTGTGGCTCAGGGCGTGAAGCACTACGTTTGGGGCAACCTGTATTACCTGACTAAGCTCGGACACTACTATCCTAAGTACCGGAGTGGACACATGGACGCCAAAGCCCGAGTTGCCGGTAAGCAGATTTCCAGTTTCGCGAAACGGCTACTGATTGATTGCGCCAAAAGAATGGCTCCTCGCTCAGAAGCTGCCGAATATCACAGTCACCCTCTTCACCACGTGTCCATATGCCAACATGTTCTGGGACGGCATGTTCCATCCTATCAAGATGGAGGACGGGTCGTTCGTCTTCCACTCGTCCATAGGCAAGTCGTCACAATAACCTCACTGGCACATTCCGCTAATAGTGTGTTAGGGAACGGTCATCTTCCGCTCATCGCGCTAGAAGACGTGGGTACATATGTTCAGTGGATATTCGACAACAAGTCCCGAGCTGACAACCTCGATCTCGTCGCTGTGACCGACATCCCGGACTATCCGACCATCATCTCTGCTTTCGAGAAAGTGACGGGGAAGAAAGCGCACTGGGTCGACCTGCCTTACGACGAATACGCGGCGATCCGCCAGCTCAAGGATGACGTGCCTGCTGCGTGGGCGCACGGATCGGGAGAGTATAATGACCCTGCGGGGATGAGCCTCAAGGCCAATTTTAGTGGATGGTGGCAGTCTTTCCGGGATGATACATTCGGGTGGGACAAGGTAGACACTAAGCTCTTGGATGAGATCAACCCCGGAAGGATTAGGAGCTTTGAGGAGTGGTGCAGGAAGGTGGGGTACAATGGTGAGAACAGGATCGTGCTGAAGGATAGGAAGGACAAGAGCTTTTGGGAGCGGGTTTGAGCTTCGGTAGCAGTTCTGTAAACGCTCCGCTGAAAAACAGTGCCAAAGAAGCGTTCCTCAATAAATCATATGTGTTTTCATATTTCAGGAAGAGCACTCGCGTCATCGTCCCATCCAGTTCATATGCATGGCTTCCCATCTCCGAGCGGAATTTTATGACCCGTGCGGTGAGTCACCCTGACGATACCAAGTTCCCCCTCACGCGCTCCCCAAACGACACACACCTCAACCCGACTCATACAATCACTCCAACCTTCTAGACCCGGCTCCACTCTATCAGAGCTCCGTCAAGCAGTGGAACATGCACATTAGAGGTAGTGTAACGGGAACACACTCTTGAGAGAAGATTGAGGGATCGGAGTTCGACTCTTCGCCTCGGAATGCGATCCTTTTTCTTTTGTGAGATTTATCTCCCAGGCGTTGAAGAGCCGCCATCCGACTCTCTCTATTCTTGTTGATTTTTGCGCTGCCCGGACTGGCGTGGGGTGATCCGACTGAAAAGTTCGGAGATGTCAACTATACGTGTTCACCAGTCTATATACGCGTGGGGAGAGAACCCTCCGATTGCTACCCTCTTCGTGGTTAGCCCATCCCCTATCGTGGTTTGATTTCGTATGATAGAGGTGAGACGTACAACTTCAGAGGACGACCCACCCACAGCTGATCACGTGACCGCATTTATTGAGCGACTGTTAAGACATATCGTACATGCTAGGGTAATATATCTCGGCAAGTATCAAGAAAACAAGCTCAGTCCATCTCATATAATCTCATCTCATCTACGTCTCCCACCGCTTGCACCGCTGGGAGCGGTCAGCGATACGACTCATAACTGGGAGGCACGGGTGGTCCAGGCATCGGCATCTGCACCCCTGCTTGCCCCTGCGGTTCCCCACCAAGATTATGCCTAATAGCGGCATACGGGTCCGCATACTGCATCGTCCTGCTGACCCCCTGCGCAGGTGGTGCGTACCCCGTGGGCGCCGGGTCGGAAAAGGCGCCGTACGTGTCCATACTGGGTCTTGCAGGCGGGTCGTACCTTCCCAAACTGGGCTGATAGGCCTGGTCATGGAATGGGGAGATAGCGTCCTCTTCGTCTGTCCTTGAATGACGGTCTGAGGGGGTGAAGGAGGGCTTGCCGCTTAGCTCATCTTCGGCGTCTCGAGCATCGAACGCTTCTTCTTCCGGTAACGTGCCTACCGGGGGTGCGAACGGGGGGTCTTTAGGTCTCAAGCCCTTGGTCTTGCGCCATTCTAGTAGGGCTAGGGAGAGGGAGACGACCCATCCGACGAAGCACATCCAGAAGAAGGCTGCGCCGGCTTTTTTCGTTGTGCACCATCCGGAGAGGGAGGACTGGAAGTCTTTTCCCAGGGAAGCGTGTGGGTCTTGCGTAGGGTCTTTGCACCCCGGTTCTGTCCAGGCTGAGATGGTGGTTATGAAGCTGGGTAAGGAGTGAGTGTGCGTTCAGAGCGCGGGTGAAACGGAAGGTATGCACCTGATTAGCAAGAGCCAGATTGTACCCGCAACGTTGAGGATGAGCTTGACGCGGATCTCGTTCAGCGGCCGGGCGAGGGCTTTGAGTCGGTCGTATTTCCAGTATACGAAGGGTACTACGAGGAGGTAGATGGAGAGGATGAGCGCTGTGACCGCAACGAATATCGCGAACCCGGATAGGAAGGCTGTGGGATGTGAGTGCTAAGTTCTCGGGATGGGAGCAAGGGACGTACAAGGGCCAACCTTCCACTGAGCCTGGAACGCGGCTGTAGATGCGAAACAGCACATGGCGAGGAAGACGAAGAATGCCTGGGCGGCATGAGCAGAGATAGTATAATTCGTGTAGGGCGGTTTCTCGTTGTAGTCTTCGTCTGGCTGGAATCCTGGTGCGAGGCGAGCGAGCCGCCGTGGTGGGGAGGATGAAGAGGTGATGCGGTCCTTGAGGTCTGAGAAGACGCCCATTATGTTTTGAGGATGGGGGGATGATGGTGTTGCGATGTGATGGTGGGGTGGGTGCTGGCGAGGTGGTGGTTGTGTTTTGAGGGATGCGGACTGTCAGGTTAAGAGCGAAAATGTGTCGTGGAGTACTGCCAGAGTATACCAGAGTTGACCGACGCGGTGCTATAGTGCCAAGATGATGCTGAGTGCGTTGAAACTCGCAGTAGGTGGTGGCGCATGCACAGCAGAGGCGCCTCCGTCGCGACACCGAGAGGGACACCGACGAGGTAATTCCTCCGATGACCCTACAATGACCCCTCGGGCGCAAATCCCCCCGAATAAGGAAAGCAGTAGCTGTGGTAATAGAAGCACGTGCTTCCGGTCAATCCAACAACGCGTTTTGTGAATGTTTTGTTATTAGAACAGACCTTTTTCAAAAGACAAGCTGGTTGGCATTGTGTATGGTATCTATTATTTTCAAAGAACTGCTGCAAAATTCATTGCCTTGCCGTAAAAGTCCGGTGTTTCCTCACCTATGTTTACGATGGTGAAAATCGGTGAATTATTATACGAGGCATCCATGCAGAATTAATTTATATACTGTAACATAACTAATGAAAAAACAAAACAAAGCTTGCGAATTAATTGTCGGAACATGCTTTATAAACCAACACGAAGAGACCGGACCCTAGTGCATCTTGAACTGCTACCACCATTTTCCTTAATTGAAAGGTCCGTGGTTGCTTAGGGCAGGCTTGGAGTCATTTCACGGATTTGCGCCCGAGGGGTCATTGTACGAATTACCTCGGACACCGACACTCAGTACAGCCACTAACACAGCCACCAGAAGCATGTATTGTCAGTCAGGGTTCATACAAAAAATGATCGGATTGGTGAGTGATGGCACTCCTCTTTCGCAATCTTCGTGCACATATCGTATTTGGCGCAAATACAGATGTGGGAAAGACCATACTCACTACGCTGTTATGTCGTGCCGCTGCGCAGCGTACACAGGCCGGGGATAGGGTACACTACCTCAAGCCTGTCAGTACAGGACCGATAGAAGAGGCAGACGACGAGTGCGTGTTTTTCCTTCTTGTTTGGGGGAGGGAGAGTGCTGAAATGGGACAGGCACGTAAAGAGATTCGCCGGCGGTCACGGGAATATATCCACCGCCTGTCTGTACAGATATGACGATCCCGTGAGCCCGCATCTCGCAGCCCAGCGATCGCATACCGTACGCCTTCCCCTCTCTCCCTCTCCCGCGCTCACGCCCTGCAGATCCCGACCGACGTCCAACTAGCAGATTCCATCCGCAGAGATCTGACATCTTTCGCCTCCAACCACACGGGCGAAGCATGGGCGTTCCTCGAAACCGCCGGGTCTCCCCTCTCCCCTTCCCCCAGCTCTTCTCTCCAAGCCACCGCCCTCCGCCCACTGCGCCTCCCGGTGGTACTCGTCGCTGACCCCCACTTGGGAGGGATAGGCACCACTCTAAGTGCTTATGAGAGTCTGGTGATCAGGGGGTGGAGCATACTCGGCGTCGTTGGTTGGAAAGAGTCTAAATGGGGGAACCTGGAGTTCCTTCGCCGCTGGTTCGAGCGTGAGACCGCGAGCGGAGGAGAACAAGTTGGTGTGTGGGAGCTTGAGGCCCCTCCTCCTAGGCTCGAGGACAAATCAGAAGACGCACGTTCGATGGAAGGGTACTATTCTTCCCTCTCTTCCTCTGTGCAACCGCTCCTTTCCTCCCTCGACGAACGACATCAATCCCGCCTATCAGAACTGGACTCCATGGACGCCCGCACGAGGAACAGTGTCTGGTGGCCGTTTACCCAACACGGTCAAGTCAGAGAAAAAGAAGTGATGACGATAGACAGCGCCTCAGGGGACTTTTACTCCGTCTACCGCTCCTCCTCCACGTCACCCCAAACACCGACCGACCCCAGCCTTCTGCAACAAGTATACGACGGCTCTGCCTCCTGGTGGACCCAGTCCCTGGGTCATGCTCACCCCTCGCTCGCTCTAGCAGCAGCGAACGCAGCAGCAAGATACGGCCATGTGATCTTCCCTTCTTCAACTCATGCGCCTGCGCTCGAGCTTGCAGAGCGCCTCTTGCGCGGGGAGGGAGAAGGCTGGGCGGACAGAGTCTTCTGGAGTGATGATGGGAGCACGGGGGTCGAAGTGGCGCTCAAGATGGCAACTCGGGCTGTCCAGCTGCGGATGCTTCAGGCGGCTTCTAGCACTCCAACAACCATAGACAACAAGTCGAAGGACTTGGGGAAGGAACTAGGCGTCATCGGCCTCAAGGGGAGCTATCATGGAGATACGATCGGGGCGATGGACGCTTCCGAGCCTAGCGACTACTCGCTCGCCGTGCCCTGGTATCGCGGACGCGGGTTCTGGTTCTCTCCGCCTGCCGTCTCCCTCCAGCGTTCCTCAGCAGTAATTACCATCCCAGCTATCGATCCCGAGTCCCCGTCCAAACAGGAGAAGGTAGAGCATTTCGCCAGCCTGCAAGAGATATACGACGTCCCATCCCGTCTCTCTTCCCCTCTTGCAGGACACTACAGAACGGAGATCGAGCGCACTCTGCGCCGGTGCGTCGAGCAAGGCCAGAAATTCGGTGCGCTACTGCTCGAGCCCCTACTTATGGGCGCAGGGGGGATGATCTTCGTCGACCCTCTGTTCCAGCGCGTGCTAGCCGATGTCGTCCGATCGGGCTCTTCCTACCTGGGCACTTCCCTTCCCCCCACCTCCGCTTCTTCCAACTCCAACTCCAACTCCAGCGCCGACTCCAGTGCCGAGTACCAACCATGGACAGGCCTCCCAGTAATTCACGACTCGGTCTTCGTCGGCCTCTCCCGGCTCGGGTGTTCCCCGCGTCATATCCTCCAGTCCAACCCCGACATAGCCGTCTACGGTAAGATGCTCACCGGCGGTCTAGTACCAATGAGCGTCACCCTCTCCTCTTCCTCTATATTCTCCGCTTTCCTAGGCGACAAAACTCAGGATGCGTTACTTCACGGGCACAGTTATACGGCTCATCCGGTAGGGTGTAGCGTCGCGAACCGCGCGCTGGTACTGATGGAGGGGGTGAAACGCAGCCCAGAGTGGGGGGGAGCACAGCGTGCTTGGGTGGAAGGTTCTCGTCCCGCGGCTCAGGCACAGGCAACTGCTACTGAGGGAGAGCAGGAGGGGAAGAGGGGCATATGGAGTTTATGGGAATTGGATACCCTCATGAGGATATCGGAACTGCCTTGTGTAGAGCGGACGATGGCGATGGGCACTGTATTAGCCATAACGCTCCAACTTCCCGGTTCAGGTTCGTCCCCCCCCCCCCCCCCCCCCCCCCCCCCCCCCCCCC